TGGGAACAAAAGGCACTGTAATTTCGACCGAAGCTCTTTGGTAATGACTTTTGGTAAAATTGGCAATAAAATATGGTTTATTACCATGCTGTTTGGGTAGAAAAAGTGGTAAAATTTGGTAATTATGTCTTTATTTGGTAATGATATCTTAGAACATGACGTAAAAACCATTTAGTCGTTTCGATTTTTCTGCAATTTTTTAATTTTACTTAATGTGAGGGGCTAAGAACTATGCTTTTAAAAAACCAGAATTTTCAGTCTATCGTGGCCATACGATCGAAATATTTACCAAATTAAAGGTTTAGCTATTGTATATTACCAGAATTATGTTTTTTTTAACAGAAATGTTTTTACGCTGCAAAATAATAATTTTACCACAATTTTTATCCATGCATGTTTGATTTGCACAATGCGGTATTAATAATAAATGTGCAATGTTTATTCGTGCATTGTTAAATACCGTATATTTTGGTTTCATTAGCCAGAATTATGTTTTTTTTACCAAAAATATTACTGCCATACATATACTATAATTTTATCGGATTTTTTTCCATAGAGAAGATGGATCAGATAAATACATCAATGAATTTGCTTTCTTAAATTGAAATTACCTCCATCTGTTGTCACATGCTCAAATCATTTAGGAAAACATTTTTCAAAAGTGTTTGTGGTAAAAAAATAACTAAAGAATAAGTCGAATTTTAAAAAAATGCGAATTGAATTAAATCAGAAAGATAATTTGGCGTAGTGTGCTTTTATTTAGTGGGAATTCCGAAATTTTGAAAAGCACCTATCTTAAAATAGTCAAAGGAGCAGATCAAAACATAACTTTTAGAAAAAATTTAGAGAACCTCTATACTGCCCCATGCTCTCTATTTGTTTTGTTAGTTTACAGCAACTCTTTGAAAAATTCAAGATGTGAATTTTGCACTTTAAAGTAAACTCACATTAAATAAATCATTATTACTATTGCGAAAAATTAAGATTTAAAATTTTAAGTTTTATATTGTTTTGAATCTCATTTACATCTATTTACATAATTGAATCCCTTATTTCATTTACTCTTGACTTATTATCTACCTAAATAACAGTTTATTATACTGAATGAAATTTTCTTAAAAGTAAATCAATTTTGCTGCTAACGAATATCAGCTTTTGGTAATTTAAAAAGAATAAAATGCTATATATTTAAATTTTCCTTAACTGCATACTGTTAAAATGAAATATAAATTGATTATGATATGAGATTTCAATAAAATTTCAAATTAACTACTTTTTGCTTCTCTTGTAATCTCAAAATACTTATAAACTTATCATATTTTTTGTGTCCTAGTAAAAAAAAATTATGAACATTAATTTTCAAATATTAGTATGATTAATCAAAAAACATTACAAATTTTTCATATACCAATTGTTTTTATATGTTATTCTCTATTCTTCATTCTATTTTTCTTCTAGTGATAAGTATTTGGGAATTGTTTTCTTTTTGTTTTTATGAGCTCGTTATACATCACTACTGACATAAGTTGAAAGTGCATCGTGTTTTTTTTTCCTTTTTATATCAAAGTTTTCTATCATTTTAAATTGTCCTACTTTAAAAGATATATTCTTGCGCTTTTCCCTTTTCCTTACATAACAGCCTATCTTCTATGGCTGTTAAAAAGTTAAACGTTGAATTATATTCCCTGAAATGAAAGCTGAACATAATAAATAAGCAAAAAAATATTTAAAAACAATGAAGCCAACAGTTGGAGATTTAACTTTGTTTGAATTACTCATTTTTATTTAATTAAAGAAGTTAAAAAATTGAATGCTAATTTATTTTCACTGAAACAAAATGCTAAAATATGACAAATAAACTAAAAAAACTTTCTGAGTAATGAAACCAACATTTTATAACGGAGTTTCAAAACTAATCATTTTTATTTAATTAAACAAACACTAATACGAGTTGAACAAGATAAATAAACTAAGCAAAAACTTTAAATACAATGAAAAACATATTGCTTCGGAGTTTTGTTTGAACTATTCCTTTTTCTTTCATTGCAGCATTTAAAAAAAATTTTATGTGTATTTATTTTCACGAAATGCAAGAACATGACAAATAAAGTTAAAAAAAACTTTTAAAATAACGTAGCCAACATCTTACAACGAACCTTTGTTGGAGCTAATCACTTTCATTTAATCAAACAAACATAAAAATGAACTGGACATGATAAATAAACTTTAAAAAAAACCTTTAAAAACAATGAAACCAGCATTTTGCTACGGAATTTTATTTAAGCAATTAATTTTTGTTTCATTACGGCTATTGAAAAATTTCATGTTCATTAATTTTTACTCCGTGCTGAGCATAACAAAGAAAAAAAATATTTTTAAAAAAATACAACGAACATTAGGTGACAGATTTTGGTTTGAACTATTCATTTCTATTTAATTGAATAAAAATGAAAATGAACTGGGCATGACAAATAAATTAAAAAAAGAATATATAAAAATAATGTGACAAGCATCTTGCAATGGAACTTCGTTTGAAATGTTCCTTTTCAATTAATTTAATAGTAATTAATTTTTAAAAAGGGATTATACAGTTAAAAAGAATATAAATAATAAATATAAAGTTATATAATAATATATAATATAAATATAAAGTTCATTATGAAAGAATGCAGAGGATACCTTATTTGAATTTTTAGTTTAAGATTTTAAGTTTAGTGTACAGTTATTTTAATTAGAAATGAATTATAAAATAAAACTCTCATGATTCACTTAAAAAATTAGTAGCGTGAAAATTTCAAAAAGTAATACTTTGGGTACAATACTGAACATATTTTTAAAACAATTTTTTTATGCATTCGAAGAATTTTTAAATTAAAAAAGCATTTTTTCTACTTGCGTCTCATTTTTGGTGCTATTAACAAGTAACAAAAATAAATTATTTTACTTTTAAAAGATTTAAAAAAGTAATATAATTAAAAAACATTTCTTGCATATAGTCTACACGTTTCTCTTAAGGGTCTTCTTCAAGAAAAGTGATTTTATTGCTTCCATGTTTGCATACCGGAAATTATCTGTCTGGAATTTCTTTTGATAATTTTTTATTTTATTTAAGTTATTAAAGTAATTACTATGGAAATTAGTTACCAAATCTTTAAATTAAATTTTATATATATTTTTTAAACTTGAGCATTGAAAAAGTTTTAAATTCGATAACTAAGTGGAATAACAAAAATATTTAAGCAAAAAAAATTTACTTAATAAATTTGTGAATTTCGAATGTAAAATACTCCTTTGGTTAGCATAAAAAGGGTAAGGTCTTTTATTATCTAAAAAAGTTATTAAAAAGTAAAAAAAAGTTGAGTTGTTCTCTCTGATTCAGACAAGAAATTTAGCTCTCACATATCTATATTGTGTATGCAACTNTAATACATTGGGTACAATACTGAACATATTTTTAAAACAATTTTTTTATGCATTCGAAGAATTTTTAAATTAAAAAAGCATTTTTTCTACTTGCGTCTCATTTTTGGTGCTATTAACAAGTAACAAAAATAAATTATTTTGCTTTTAAAAAGTTTAAAAAAGTAATATAATTAAAAAACATTTCTTGCATATAGTCTACACGTTTCTCTTAAGGGTCTTCTTCAAGAAAAGTGATTTTATTGCTTCCATGTTTGCATACCGGAAATTATCTGTCTGGAATTTCTGTTTTTATTAAATAACTTAAAATATATTTTTGATCATTTTTTATTTTACTTAAGTTAATAAAGTAATTACTATAGAAATTAGTTACCAAATCTTAAAATTAAATTTTCTATGTATTTTTTAAACTTGAACATTGAAAAAGTTTGAAATTCGATAACTAAGTAGAATAACAAAAATATTTAAACAAAAAAAATTTACTTAATAAATTAGTGAATTTCGAATGTAAAATACTCCTTTGGTTAACATAAAAGGAGTAAAGTCGGATTTTATCTCAAAAAGTTACTAGAAAGTGAAAAAAAGTTGAGTTGTTCTCTCTGATTCAGTCGAGAAATTTAGCTCTTACATATCTATATTGCGTATACAACTTCCATGTTCAACTACGTATACTAGCATCTAAAATACTTTCTCTTTTTAAAAAACAACTTCAAAAACAATATTTAGGAAATAAGATTTTTAAAAAAAAAAATGTTTTTCGCTTTAATACAACAAAAAAAATTTAAAATCAATGTTTATTTTTTTTTGTTTTCTAGCTCAAGTTTGATTGTAATCCACATCCCGTATATTGTAATTTTTACCGAGCACACAAACCATGACATATGATAAAATAGTAAAAAACAACTTGGTATAGAGAAATTAATTTAATGCGAATCTGAATCAATTTAATTAATTTTAATTTGTATCAAAACCATAAAAATGTCAACATCTCTCTATGCCATTAAGAAATACTTTTATAGCAAAAATTCTTTTATTCTTTACACATAAAATATTCAATTCCGAATAATTTATGACATCATAAAACTGAAAGTTCTAAAGCAGAATTAAAGAATGTAAAACGTGTCGTAAAATACACCAAAATAATGTTGAAAATCGAAAAAAAACCACTTTTTTTCCCAATTACTATAAGAAGTCGCCCAAATCTGTTGAAACGATCAAAATTCAACAATGTTTGAAGAAGAAAAAAAAATCGATGTTAATGGCGTTATTAGGTTCCCGTCTTACATTCATCACACCACCATTCAAAATGGGTGTTGCCATTCGTCCATAAAAAATATAAAAAATTAAGGGAGAAATTACTAAATCTAGAAAAATTGCGCTGTTTCTTTTGTAACGAAATCCGATTAGGCAACTAAACAACATTCGATCTCTTCAGAAAACAAAACGATAGTTGAAAGCAATATCGAAACAGCAAACGACAGTAAAAAGAATGAAAGTTCGACAAGAAGAGGGAGGGAGGGAGGGGTGGGAAGCACGGAAATAAAATAAAAAGATGAGGATGTCGATCTACCTCTGGACAGGAAGGAGAAAAAGAAGACGATTACTGAGGGAGTCAAATCTGGGTTGGGGGACTGCTTGAATGTATAAAGTGAACTGGCCATTGTCTGTCCAGCGTCATTTGGTGCTGTACCGGAATACGGAGAGGTTAAGGAATAGCGGGTGGTGTTTAAAATAACTTTTTGTAGTGGTCATTAGGATTCCACAATGAAGGTATGTCTATTTCAAGAAACTTATGATTTTAGAAATCGTTTTTTTTTTTTTCTTTTTCAATCAATGAATTCAGTTAATAATTATACTTTGAATGCATGAATAATGAAATTCTTTAATTTGACAATCAAATAATTTATTTATTAATACTGCTTGAATGATGTAATTGTTTAGTTTGTTTCAGTCAATCAATTAATAGTAATATTCTGGCTGTATAAATTATAAAACTGTTATATTTATTTCAATCAGTTAATTCAATAATAAGGATTCTCTGAATATATTATTGGATCAGTTTGGTTTAGTCATAAACTTTAATAAATAATATTACTCTGAATTAATGATGAAATTGTTTAGTTTGTTTCAATCAAATAATTCAATTAATATTAATGCTCTGACTCTAAACGCTGTGTAGTTTCTAAGTTTGTTAAATTTTACAAAATTATTGTTACAATATTAATTATTATTAAAAAGTTCATTGTTTTCTTTTGAAACAGTTGACATTAGGATTCCACGGCAAAAATTATTTATTTATTTTTGCTCTGAATATATTGTTGGATCAGTTTGTTTTAATCATAAACTTTAATAAATAATATTACTCTGAAATAATGATGTAATTGTTTAGTTTGTTTCAATCAAATAATTCAATTAATATTAATGCTCTGACTCTAAACGCTGTGTAGTTTCTAAGTTTGTTAAATTTTACAAAATTATTGTTACAATATTAATTATTATTAAAAAGTTCATTGTTTTCTTTTGAAACAGTTGACATTAGGATTCCACGGCAAAAATTATTTATTTATTTTTGCTCTGAATATATTGTTGGATCAGTTTGTTTTAATCATAAACTTTAATAAATAATATTACTCTGAAATAATGATGTAATTGCTTAGTTTGTTTCAATCAAATAATTCAATTAATATTACTGCTCTGACTCTAAACGCTGTGTAGTTTCTTAGTTTGTTAAACTTTACAAAATTATCATTACAATATTAATTATTATTAAAAAGTTCATTGCTTTCTTTTGAAACAGTAGACATTAGAATTCAGCGGCAAAAATTATTTATTTATTTTTTAGGTAGCGGCAAAAATTCTTTTAACTTGTTTCAACTAAGAAATATATAATAACTTTTAAATATATAATGTTTCCACAAAGTAAATACTATAATTATTTTAATTATAGCTATTATATTTAATACAAGACATATATTTTTAGAATAAGACACTATTATATTTAATACGTGACATATACAATTTGCATACATTTTGAGATATCTTAACTAATTCATTTTAAGAAAAAATCAAGTAATTTTTTTTTATTATTCCAAGTACCAAAACTTGTACATATCGATTTCTTGAATTAAAAAAAACGCGTAAATCTGAAATATTCAGGAAATTTGAAGAATTAAAAATACTTTCAGCTTTCTAAATTTCACGAATTATTTTTTAAAAAAATATTTTTCATTTATTCGTAATGTTGACAAATGTGTTATTTAAAAACAAAGAACATTCATTATAGTACTTCTTATCATATTCAAAAACATAAAAATCACGTAATGTAAAAATCATAAAACAACAATGCAGTATTCTTATTTAAAATTTTTTAAGTAGCTTAAAAAAATTCAGATATAAAACTAAAAACAATTAGGATAAAACTAATATTATAATTTTCTTAATTGAAATTACCTATTAAAATCTTTTATCTTGTTTAAAATTTAAAAAAGAAATATAAGTATAAGTTTATTATACTTTTTAAAACTGTTACATTTTAATTCATGATTATTAGCAACAATAACATATTTACTCTTTACTTTCTTACATTTGTAATCCTAGTGACACCATTTTCAGAATTTTTAAGCAATTTTTTAAAACATTTATTTAAGAGCAATCTTCATCAAATCGTTATACAATTTTTTATAGAACTCATTAGCACATACTGAGTTCTTATTTTACTATCATTGCCTTTTTCCAAGTGATTAATATTCATCAAAATCTTTCCATATAGTAATTAAACGCTTAAAAATTTTTTGAAAAAATTGATTTTGCGCAACATTATTTATTTTAAAATATTTATACTTTTTTTTTTGATTTATTACAAATTTAAGAAGTCACTCACTTACTGTAGAGCAGTGTTTTCCAAAGTGTGGTACGGGAACAGTTTAGTGGGGGCACGCGCTCCTATGCGAAATATTTTGCAACAAACGAAAATTTCAAAAAAAAAATTTTAAAAACAAGGCTAGTCATGAAAATTACGATTACGTATTTTTCTATTGACTATTTTTTGCAGAGTTAACAGTTAATAATTAGTGGTGTCAACAGCCAGTTGTGATTTTTAACTTTTATCCAATTCTTTTACAGTAAAAAAAAAAACATTATTTTTTTCTTATTTTTGGTACACAGCATCGCGAAAAATTTAGAAAGGGTACACAGAAGTCATAAGTTTGGGAAACACTGCTGTAGAGCACAACTAAAATATACTTTTTTTATCTGACATCTGAACAACAAGATATTTAAATAATTTTCATTTTATTATCGTATATTTCAATAATTATTATTATTATTGAACTGACCGGACCGTGTAAGGATCAGGGAACTAGCCTTGCATTTGAAAGGTTCTGGGTTTAAATACCAGACAAGGCATGGATGTTCTTAAATTCTCTATACTATCTATCCTTACTGTGGGAGCGACGTTGGCCCATCTAATGTGATGCCCGTGAAAGAGTGGCCTACAAATCTGCATTGTAAAATACCTGAATTGACTATAGGTGGGCATAGGCAATAAAAAGAAAAAAATAATATTCTTAAAAATGTCTAAAATATAGTAACATTTCAAACAGAACTTTTAAGCATAATATGTATTAAATAACAGTAGGTAATCTTTGCTCTTTTTAACCTACGCACAGCAACACGTAAAATTTACGTGATAGAAAGATACCAATAAATTTTTCAATACGTTAAAATAATTTGGTTAAATAAAATATTTTTTAAACTAAAAAAGTGCATAGTTCATGAATAATTAATCATAGTTACGATCATCAGTAATTTAGGAGTTCGAAAGAAGTATATATTTCTGTAATCATTTTTGTAATCTTGATTTCATTTCAATGCATGTCATAAAAATATTTGATTTAAAAAAGGAGTGAAACTTAATAAAGCTTTAACATATCTAGTGCAAGAATATACTAAAGGATAAAAAACATTTTCCAGAGCAAATTACTTATTATGATTGTCATTAATGATTTTTAGATCGTAGGCTTCTATGTAATTCGAATGAACTTTCTATAATGATGATAACTTTCTATAACTATGATGATTTTATCTGAAACTATACTAAAATACAAGACTTATATATAAACATTATGTTATAATAAAAATATATTTCAAACTGAATAACAAAACAGTACAGCGTGTATGAAAAATACGCATTTGTCAGCAATTTTATAATAAAATTCCTTTTCATGTTAAATAAAGGAATTATAATAGGCATAATACATATTATACAAAGTATAATACTCTTTCATTGCAAAAAAAAAGAAGAGAAGCAAAAAAATATTCTAAGAGAAGAAATTTAATTTGGACAATTATAGTTATTTGCCAAAACATCCGGGTTCTACTGTTAGTTTTTCATTAATAATGAAGCCCTTGTCTCAAAAAGCATCAAAATCAAAACTTTTTTTCTGAAAATTAGAAAAGAAAGGATATTATAAATAGGAAATTACTTTGGTTCAATCGCATACAAATAATACATCGTATTTCAAATTTCGATTTTTATTGCTGTAACTCTTCTTTACAAATAAAAACCGTATCGTGACCTAATGTGATAAAAAAAGATAGGAATAAAAAGAATTGTTTGTTTGAATCAGTTATATTTTTCCCCTAAACATAAAACATGTTTGTTTCTCATCATCTTTAAACTGCTTCGTGACGATGTTGAGAAAAATAATACTCTTCTACTTTTTTTTTCGTGCTCCAAAAAAAAAAATTACACGATAAAGAAAATTCTTATGAATAAATTTTTTTTCATAAGGTAGACAAAAGATAACAATCATTTTCATCCGAATAATTAGCTTATTGCGTAAATGAAACAAAACAATGCTGAATATTTCATTTATCGTTAATATCACAGTTGTGTGATTTTTATTGTCTTAACATTATGTTAAAGCTATTGTCCCCTTATCTTTAATTTAAGCAAATTTTAAATTGGCTCTATTTAAAAAAATATGTTAAAGTTATCTTTTTAATCTAATTGATAATCCAATTGCCTGAGCATAAAAGGTTCACTTTATAATTTGAATTTTTTTCCCAAAAAAATATTTTTACGCCTTAATGGCATTTTTATAAATAAAAAATAAAACATTTTGGTTGAGTTATGGAGTTATAAGATGAGAGCTGCATATTAATATTTAACACAAGCAATCATACATGCATAAAAGCTTTTTAAACGAAATTCATGAGTTTGGAAATAATTACAAATGAATTATAATACATTAACTTTCACATCCATTAAATTATCATTTTAATTGTTATCTATTGCATTGTAATCTATTTAATTCAAATTCATCTCAGCTAAGAAAATTTAGTTTAATAATTCAATCAAATTAAAAAAGCAATAAATCAATCAAAAGTCCAAAAACAATTCTATCGCGACAAATTAAATTTGTGACTAGTTATAATTTAAATAAGTGTCATAATTTTCAGTGAGGCAATATTTTTCTCTGTATATTCACGACTATTAGCCCAAATGATTTTCATAAGATTACAGACATCTTTTTTTCCTTTAACCAAAGGAAATAACTATCCTTAACCAATTAGAATAAGAGTCAAGCAAAACCATTTTTACTCCATTGCCTCTGTTAAAATAGTGGAGTTGAGTTGCAGACCGAGAGATTAAATTCCTTGTGAGAGTTAAAAAGTGATGTGGAAAGAAATATATAGGTAGGTAGGTACTTTATTTATATCGCAATAAAGCTTTACAGTGGGCTATTGGCGACGGTCTGCAAAATATATCCGATGATAATCAGAAGACATGACGAACTGCGCTCGAAGTCGAGCAATTTACGGTATAACAGGATAACGAGGACCGATACTGCGCACCCTCGATCCGAACATAGGCTGATTGAAGTGGTCACCCACCCACTTACTGACCGCAGCCAGTGATGTTTATCATCGGTGTTCTACTGGGAATCGTGTCTTTACAATCAGTCCACTGCGGGAAGAAAAGAAATATATATATTAAGATATTTATTCGCTGAAAATTGCCCCAGGAAATATGCAAGGGTCATTTTTTGCTGCAATTTTGCTCAGTTCTTCTCCAAAATAAGTTATCCTTATCTCTAACTTAGCAAAACGTTTTGTGATCTCTGAAAATTAAACTAGATCATCTTCTATCCTCTAAAACTCGTAACCATTTTAAATAAATAAAGCTGAACAACGTAAATGAGGCACAAACACCACAAAACTATCACAAATAATACCCCCCCAAAAAAAAAATATTTAAAACCGGAAAAGAATTTTAGAACCTACCGGTGTGTCCCTTCGCTTGCGTCATGTTTATTAAACGATTTGTTATCAGGCTGGACACTTTAGGAAGTTTCATTATTAAGAATTGAACTAAAATACGAGATACCAATAATTCTCAAAGGTAGAAATCCTCAAATTATTAAAGGAAATAATTATCATTTCATAAATGAAGCGTTGGGGTAACCAAGATTTGAGTGTTAGATACAGTGCTTTGATATTTTTCGTTTAAATAAAATACATTTGATTTTCAAATTTAATGGTAAATAACACAATTTTTATTACAAACAGAGCACATAAAGTAATATTCTCGGATGATTTTTTTTCAATTAGTAACATGGAAGTCTTGTTACGAATTTTAACCATCAGTGATGTGTACTTGTGCTTATCTTCACATGGTTCCCTATAGATAATTAGATAAAACTGTACAACGAACTCCATTCACGTAGTTTTGATTTTGTTCATCTACCACAATGTAAACTATTTCTTCGTTTTGACATTTCAAATCGTTGAGAAATATTTCTAAGACAGTTCAAAATGTAAAGAAACATTTTAAAAAATAAGCATTTGAAAATCTTCTTTTTTTATACTACAGTCGATTACCAACCATGTGACTTTTTAAAAAGTTTTTGCAATTGCATATGTTCAAAAAAAACTTAATTAATATCTGGAATAATAAATATTTGGAATTTCTTTCAGTATCACTTTTTATTTGTCTTCCATGTTACGAAAGGCATATTAAAGTGTATACAGTTTCTACTGTTCGAAAACAAAAGAAAAATTGCAGAAACTCTAATAATTCTTAAAATTGTTAAGTTATAATTTTTTTAAGTATTATTTACTAAGAAAATGTAATGCATAAAGATTTTGATATGAAAAAAACTATACGTAAAGTTTCTAAGCCATTTATACTTTTACAAATATACTTTTAATATCTGCACTAATCAAAAAGTATGGTCAAAACTATCAAATTTTGTTGAATTTCTTGTGTTTCTTGCTCAATGGGAACAACAAAAAAGCTTGGAAATTTCTACCGAATTGTTTTGGTAATAATTTCGGTAAAATTACCAGTAAAACAGTGTTTTACAATATGCGTTAAAATTTGGTAAATGTGGTAAAATTTTGAAATTTTATCATGGTACCTTAAAGCATGGCACAACAATAATTTAAAGTTTGCTGTTCAATTTTACTTTTTAATAAATGTGAGCTAATACGAACTTTAATTTTAAAAACCGGAATTTCCGGTAAACTGTTTTCGTATAAATGGAAAAATTACCAAACGAAAGGTTTAAATGTGGTATATTTCGGTTTTATTAACCCGAATTATGCTATTGTTTTTTTGTTTTCTTTTTTTTTTACCAGAAAGTCGTTGTCATATCGTAATGTAATTATACCAGAATTTTTTTCTTCTCTGCTCGAAGGATATATTATAGCCTTTTTTATAGCATTAAGAGGCAACAACTTCGTTAACTTTTCCTAGAGATTTTCTCTATTTTTTAAATTTAATTATTTTAAACATATTCTAATTCTGTGTAAAATGTTTTTAAGTTACACTCCATTTTTTTTATCAGTTAAGTAAGTCGTAAATCCATAATTAGGTTTGTTATAAAAGATTTAAAGCGCATATTTCGGTCAGTTTCTTAAAACTGATTTTGCCAAAGTTAACAACAATGCTTAAATACATCCTAATAATAGTAATTTGCTGCTAATCAAATAAGTATTTTAAAAAATAATTATTGTTAATTATTATAAGTATTGTATAATAAAACTAATAACAATAAATTATAATCATTTAATTTTTAGTTATGAATTGATTAATTCAATAATTGCTTCCTAATCAAAATATATTAGGCAAGAACTGCATTCTAAAATGTCATCAACCATTATTTTATTTTCAGATTCTCCTCTTTATTTTGTCAGTCACGATTTCTAGCACAATAGCTGTTAGAAGAGGATCGTCACTTGTACAAATAGACAGAGAAGAAGATCTCGAAGCAGAATCATCGAGAAGAAAAATCTACGATATAATTCAAGATCACGAAGGACGCAAGTTTGGCGAGCATGGTGGCCACGAATATGAAGCAGGAGAAATTCCAGGTACACTAAGCAGGAAGCATGCTAAGCGAGTTGGTGGGTATCTTCCAGTCGCTGAAGAAGGCAAAAATCCTCTCTACTACGCCTTGGCTCCTAAGCGTGATCGTCGCCCAAAAGACAACGTCTATCGCGAAAATGTAGCTGCATATGCTCCAAAAGAAATAAATCCAGTTCAAGTCGGAAATGCACCTCAACACGTAATAGCAAGTCCTTTAAGCCACTCCCATTATGCTGTTGTCGACCCTAAAGATAACAATCAGTATATCATTTATGAAGAGCCAAAACCACATTACAAAGCTGCACCTATACCAAAACACACTTACGTTTTAGAAGAAGAACCTAAAACTCATTACAAATCTATTCCGAAGCACACATACGTTTTAGAGGAAGAGCCTAAATTGCATTATAAAAATGTGCCTAAACATACTTATGTCTTAGAGGAAGAACCTAAACAACATTATAAGGCTGCTCCTGTTCATAAGCACACTTACGTGTTAGAAGAAGAACCACAGTATGCCGTTCCCCATGAACACGTGGTTGCTAAACCTGCACCACACGCAGCTCATTACCCAGTAGCTGTTAAGGATTATGGCAGTCATTACGATAGTCATCACAAGTTGGATGATAAAAGTCACCACTCTACTGGTCATGGTTACTACGATGACAACCAGGTACATAAGCATGCTGGACATAAAGAAAGTGGAAAGCATGATATTTCTGGTCACAAAGCACATTCTTCGGCTGGTGGACATCATGACGAACATGATCATCACCATGACAAGTGAGTTCTCTTGCAATAACTTTTGAATATTTTATCGTAGCTTATATTAAATAAGAAAACTTTGTTATTACTTTAAACTAAAAATACTGATTCGGTTTCTTTCATTCTTATTTTTTTTCATTTGTAAAATCCCTATTTGGTATGGTTTAAAATTTAATCTTCTAGGTTCATGCAGTTCGATTTAAAAATAAATAAATATTTAAAAGATACAATTTCATAATTGAATTGTATATAACAACAGGAATAAAACAAAACTAGAGTTCTTGAAAATTAAATCAGTATTTGATGGGGGAAATATAGTAATGTCTGTCATTTTGACAATCTCTCTGATAGAAGATCCGATTCTTCTCAATTAATTTATTTACTTAAAGGAAATTTAACCCTATAGCACATCTTAACCATTAGACATGAATTTTTAATTAACAAGTTATTCATCAAAATTCATTGAATTACGTAAACACAGTTCCTTAAACCAACTCTTATATCAAATCAGTTTGCTTCTTTCACGAATTTGGAAGAAAACTAAAATTAAGAAAACTTCTGAAATTTAATAGTTTTAAATCGTCATCTATCTCATTACTATTTGGAGAACAAAGCATATTCAATAGGGATTTTCTTATGTTTTAGTTTAAGCTATGCATACTATGGGATGATATACAACTTTAAGTGAAAACAGAATCATATCCTCATATGACCAATTATTTAGTTCCTTCTGGCTAAAAAACGTATTTGATTTCTTATAAGCAATTTTTAAAAACTCTTTACCGACTCAAACGTTTTATTTTGTTTTGTTTTTTGCATTTTTAATATGTATGTTTTACTGAAAACTTATATATACCAAAATGCTCCGTGTTTGTGTTATTTTCTTCGTAACATAAGACGTACGTAGAAATTTTAATCTAAACGATTTCCAAATTTTAAATTGCTTTACAACTTCTGTTTTAAGCTGTTACAGTATGAACTTAAAATATTCTGATCTCAACTGATTTATTAAACAATTCGTCAAATCCAGATACTCGTTGCATCATTTAAACTATAAATAAGGAAAAAGCTGTTATTTCAGTTTTCGTAAAATTAAAATTAGATAAATCAACAATTTATGTTAAACATTATTTAAATTGCAAGCAAAGTTATTTAAACCACAGGTCTGTTTTAAATTATGTAGATTGTGTACAAAAAATATGTTTAAATCACTTCTAATTTACACAACGCTTTTTTTTCATCTTTATTCACAGTAAGTTAAATTAAAAAAAGGTATAGAAATGTCATAAAAATGCATATTAATAATTTGGAGTCTTTTTTTTTTACACTTTTCCTTCTTCCAAATTAGTGTTTCAAATAATATTTTCGTATATATCTCTTTTTTTCGTAATGATTATTTATATAAATATTTTATATTCGATAATTTATGATCAACAATTTGTAAGTGATAATTACTCAAAAATTAAATGAACAATCCTCAAAAACTGAAGCGGAAAAATATACTTTATAAAAGATCCATTTGCTTCAGAAACTTATGGAGATGGCAAAAGTAGACATGTTTCGCATTCTCAAGATTTCTAGTGTAGTAAGTCTAAAGAATGGGTGTCTACTTTTTATGGTTCAAAATATGTCAACTTTTACCACCTTCATTAGCTTTTGAGGCAAATAAAACTTTCCATTTTATCGAAAATAAGAAAAAACATAAAATTTTGTTTCAAATATGAAATAATTTTGTTATAAAAACAAAAGTATATTTGATAAAAGAAATATAATTCATTTAATCAATATTAGTTAGTAATTTAATTTTTTGATTTATATGCTTTTCACTTCTAGAGTGCTCATTAGCTATACCTTACGCTTTAAATTGATTTAAATAATGTTTTAATCCACAAAAGTACTTACACGCATTATTAGTAACCGCCTATAGTTTTAATCAAAAGTAATGTTCAGTGTGCGTCATCCTAAATCACTTTCGATCTAATAATCGTATCTTCACATTCTAGGACTCAATCTTAATGGTTTGATAGGGTGACCTCAAATATATTCATTAATTAGTGTAGACGATATTTTAAGTTACGAAATTAAACAAAAAAACGCACTTTCTCTGAATAAACATAATTTTGTTACAAGGGATTCTGATTTCGAACCCCTAATATATAGGGGGCAGCCGCAATCTTTGAAATATGGTCCCAATATTTTGGTCAGGTGAGCGGCGGCTAACTAGTTTGAAATAGTTTGAAAATTGTTAATACTAATTTCCTCTTTTGCGTATTTCACCATATCTCGAAAAAGTTTTAAACGAATTGAATTATTTTTTTCACACAATTATAAAATTTGTTTATCCAAAAGCAATTGTGTGTAAAAATAACTTCTAGAAGTATTTAATATTTTATTTAATAATAGTAAAAAAATTGAATTGTAATACTTACAATTTTTTACATCACTTTAAAGAATGTAATTTTACATGGCAAAATATAAAATATGAGCAAAATTAAGTCGAATTCTTTTATGAGAAATTGAAATTTAAATGTTTGACTTTTCTGTTCCACCAGCAAACCTGTAATTTATTTAAAATTAAAAAATTAATTTTTGATGTACAATAGCAACAAAAATAATAACAAAATCGACACTTTTCAAGTGTTTTATAAAGTTAAATAATTTCGCTTATTTTAATTTAAAGTTCGATATTCAAATTAATTTTTGATACAAAATTGTTTTCTACAAAACTAATCTCCACAGTAACATTAATGAAGTGCTATGCTTCTAAGAAGCTTTACATATTTCACTTCAATCTTTTCACACCATTGTACTCTTCTTTTTAACTTTTTCCTTCGCAGGGCACATTACGAACGAGACCGTGGTTACCATTACGAAAAAGCTTATGCTTACGACAGAGTGAGAGCATCACATGACATAGGAGCCACCAAAGGCGCCCACTCATCCTACAAAGCTCAACACGCACAAGAAGGATACAAAGACGCCGGAGATCATGGAGCCCAATCTTACATGTACTTCAAAAAACACGGGCAACATGGTGGTCATGGCTATCACGACAATAAAAATTCATTGTACAAAACAGGGCACCATAACAGTGGTCAAGGATACCAAGATTATGAACAAAAATACGTCCCACATCAACATGCTTATGGAAAGTAAATTTACAAAAGAGCTCTTTAAAAGAGATTATGACAGACGCGGACTGAACAATAGACTCGATTTTCTTGTGCCTTGTGTAAATAGCTTAAGCAAGTTTATCGCTTAGATTTCCGTAAAAGTACAAAAAAATCTTGGCGAGGAACCTCATGATTTTTCCATTTTTGTCGAAAATGAGTTTCTGTTTCAAGGCCAGCTATCCTTTCAAACAAAAAGCGGAAGTAATGCTGTCCTATAAACGAATGCAATTGCCAAATGGTTTTGTTCACTTAAATCTGATGATTTCGTGTAAAGATAAACTTTGGGTGTAACTTAAGAATGTTTCATTGTATAAGTGTTCCTTATATAGAAAAAAATATTTTGTGTTAAATTATGTGAATAAATTTATTTTATTTATATTATTTGTACAACTTAGTTACTGACAAATTTTTGGCATCAATTAAATTCGCAAAAACAAATTTTTTTTTACACATTCAGAACACAAAGGCAATTTTGATAAAGATAATAAGAAATATCAGCTGAGACTCTATGTAAAATGACAGCAAAACAGAAATTAATTTTTGAACTTAATTTCATACAATTTTTTAAAAAAAGAAATTAAAACGATATATTTTAAAGATTTTTTAAAATCACCTTGATAACTCCGAGGTTTTCATCTCTAAACATATAATACTATCAAAATGAAAAACGCAATAAAATTATCATTACAGTGAAATTTTTTTCATTCAAATAATTTTATTGTAAGTTTTAATTGCAAATAGAATTATCTCAAATTCTTAAACGTGCAATGAATGGCAGAAAACAAACAAGGGAATGCTGACCCAACTTGACCTTTTTTCATATTTAAACATTCAATGCAATAATCATGTTGAGCCTCAGATTAAAGTATGGGATCAAGCTGAATCTCATGCTATTTCCTATGCTTATAATTCTACTTTAAAATGAAAAAAAAAACTTTTGAAATAAACGAATACTGCACTTAATTTAAATACATTTATTTTATTTTATCAGTACAAATTTTAAATACCTGTATAGAAACAGATGCTAATCATAAAAGTACTAAATACAAATATATTTTTAAGTTAAATAAATTTAAACATATTATGTACATTTAAATTAAGTTTAAGTTAAACACTCAATAATTTAACAAATATAATCATTTATAAATCATTCATAATCATCACTAAATAAATCATCACCAAATAAAATTAATTACAATTAAAAAGACAGAATTGCTTATGACTTTCTTTAAATTAAACGTCTTCTATATACAATCAAGCTGGGTAAAAATCTTTTTTTACATTTTCTATTTTTTATAAGAATTTATGGTGAAAACATTCTGTAATTCCCAATGTAAAAAAATGCGAATGGAAAGCTACTTTATAGCTACTTACTTTTTCATGTATAAAAATATATGCTTTTATACACATGCTTTATTTTTATACATATAAGCTTTTTGAAGTAAAGACAAAATAAGATGCAAATGAACTTTGCTGTAAATTGGGTGCAGCCAAGCTTAAGGAAAAAATATAATCATGATCACTTTTTTACCATTGGTTTGGATGCACCCAAAAGGCGCAACTCTATTCGTGATTTCCAAATAATCATAATTACAAGTAATCATAATTTTAGTTATTCATAATCTACGATTACATTTAATCCTGATTGCCATAATCACGTATTTTGATCACCAGTATTGATGATTATATGTAATCTTTAGATCTTGATAACTTGTAATCATAACTAGTTAAGATTATAAGTAAACATGACCAACCGTAATCAGAAATTATGATTACAGTAGTTCTAGTAGAGATTATAAGTAATTATGACCTCATGCAATCAGGGAACGTGATTACTTCTGATCGTAATTACTTGTAATTGCAAATGCAAGTACTTGAAAACATAGTAGTAATTATATGTAATTTATTACAACTGTAAATAATGACTGCCATCGTGGCCTGACTCTGGTTCTAAAGTTATGAGTCTGGCAAGAGTCTAGAGTTCTATCAAAGCATTTTTACTCTATTTTCACTCTTGTTGAGCTTGAAAGTTTTTTTTTTTTACTTTTTTGTATTCTTTTTTAGTTAATAACTTGAACTGTAATAAATGATTGTAATAATGTGAGAAAAAATACTTGCTTAAAGCTTACAAACCTATATTGATATTGAAAATTAATCAAACTGCGAACGCAAAATAGTTTCACTTTTAAAAACTTTAAACCATCCTCTCTTAAGAGTTATATGCTTTTTTTTTTCAATTTACTAATTAAAAGTACAAATCAATGTAAATAGAAGGAAAATAATTCTTTTTATTTTCAACTAAATGAAATTCAAAATGTTCTTCGAATGCAAATTTCTTTCTTTTCTAAAAAAGAATCTTAATTTTATTTTTAGAGTCAAATTATATTTTTCTATCACAGCTATAGAACATCCCTTCCCTTTCATACTGAGAACTCAAAAATTGAACGAGTTTGTGTCGAATATTTTTCCAGAAATTGATCCCAGAACTGCTTTGATTCTTTATTCATTATCTTAAAATAATAATAATAACAAAAAAAGAAAATCATGCAATATTTTCTCCATTTAAATTCTTTTAAGATAACTTCTTCCTTTAAATGCTTTTAAGGTGACTTGATCGATTTTTTTTAATGTTGTCTTTTAAAACAGACATGGGCTAAAATTTTATGAAGAAATTTATTGCATTTTAAAAACATTTTTCTATAAATTTAGTAACAAAATTAATTTCGGATGAGTGTCTTTAACATTTTCAATTTGTGGTAACCCCAAAATTAAAATTAAAATTAAAATTTTCAATAAAAATAACACAGCTCTCCGCTTGTTCACCACAATAACAACTTCGATTCCATTTATTTGTTTTATGAACATAATTGAAAAAATATCTTATAACTTGTCTGATTCATGAAGGTTTTCGAAATATGTTTTTTTTTTCGTTGAAAATTATGTATTTAGCTCTTTTGTCCCTAAATGAATTATTTTATGTGTATCTTTTCATAAAAAAGTTATTTTAACTTATTCTCATTAAAAAAACATTTATCGAATTTTTTACTTATAGATCGATTTCTGGAGTAACTAACTGGTCTTTAAAAAGCAAAATAAAACGTATTTGTAACATTATACGCAAAATTAAAAGATTTTCTGAGCAGGTCATTATCTTTTTATTTTAACTAAATCCACGAGTATGAAGGAATTTCCAAATTACTTCGCGGATAATTTGAGAAAATCTTGAAAATATGGTAATAACCTTTCATTAAAGCAAACTATATGAAAATAAATTCTGAATCAATAGTTTTACTAAAATTAAAAGAAATTTTTAACGTAGTTTCGTTAGATATTGCAAAAAACGAATAAGCTATAAGTATATGGAATTTGAGTTCACAATATTGCTAAAATAAAAAAATTCACTAATTATAAAAAATAACTTGCTAACATTACTAAATTTCATTTATATTCTAACGCAAACTGTGAAATAAAATGTCATTTTATTCATTATTCATTCAGTACTTAAATATTCCAAATATATTCAGAGAATATGAATTTTGAAAATTTATCACCAAAACTTTAATAGTGCAAAGTGTTAATATTAAATCAATAAGGAAATTTTAGCGAACAGAGTTTCAAATCCTTATGTTACCATTTTTACAGAAACTGCGCTGCAACATAATCGTAAAACTTTACTCGGAATTTCTGAGTATTATTTTAGTCCAGTAACATTTAACATTTGGCCCAATGTATAATTCAAATATGATCAGAATCTTGCATTTTTGTACCAGTAACAAAAGAGTAGTTTAAACATAATCGTTTTTAAATATTTAATATAAGTACACGACAGTGACTGTTTCATAACATCAGTTTCTCTTAGTCTTTTTCTGGTAGTAGATTTAATCAATTTAAAATTATTTCCATGGTACCCATGCATTTCCATGGAGCTGAGGATTTGAGGCTGGGTCTATTGGTTCTTGCACTGGTTTTATTTCAACTGCCTTATATTTGTTTATGGCTGCTTCAAGTTCCTTCACCATCTGAAAATTAAAACAAACAACAGGCTAAATTAAGAAAAAGAATGTTTCATACTTAAAGATTAAAATACGTTAAGAAGGAAAATTTTGCTAAACACCTATACCATTGATGAATTGATAAAAATGTAACATATCAGAAAATATTAGTTTTTTTTTCATAAATATAGAATACTTTCTTTATAAAAGAAGTATCACTCTACTCTTACAGAAAAGTTGGTTAGCAGTTTAACCATTATATCGGTACTTTGAGCCATAATATCATTTAAAATTACTGCAACCTTAATAAAACCTTGATATTAAATTGAAATGTGATTTCGCTCAGGTTTAACCATAATATAGAGTAATCAAGTACATTAAGGAATTATCAGCATTATATCACAGTTCATCTTGTCGACTAACTTATTTGTTTAATTATAATTGCAGAAAATGTAAATGAAAACTTAACTTTTATTATTTCATTTTTTTTATTAAATATACACTTTTTTTCAATTTTGAAGAAAAAATCATTTGAAGAAAATATAATGCTTTTAATTAAAATATTCAGTAATTAAACCAAATATTTCATAAAAATAATTTGTTTTCAAACCATTGTAATTGAAACAAATTCGTTAAAAATTACTACAAAATAACATTCGAAATTTCTATGACCTTAGTAGAACCTTAGTGTTAAATTCAAACTTTTAGAAGACAAAACGTTTTTTCGTGAAATCTAACCATAATATAGTGTAATTAAGTATATTAAGGATTAATATGTCCGATAATGTGAATCTACCTGACATCGTATCATAATTGTGACAGTTTTGAAAAAAATTCTGACTCAACAAAATACGAAATTTGTACATGGTGAAAAAGAATCTGGTAAAATTACTGCACTGTATGGTAATTGTACTTCGGGCAAAAAAAAAACATTATTGTGTGATAAAAAACAAAAGATATGGTATTCAAATCATTCATTTGGTAGTTTTTCCGTTCGGATGGTAATGGTTTACCGGAAATTCAGATTTTTAAAATTATGATTCATATTGCTACACATTTAGTAAAAAATGCAAAACTGAAAAATAAATTTAACTGAAAAATTTTTTTTCATGCCATGTTCTAAGGTATCGTGATGAAATTAATAAATTTTATCTCAGTTAACAATTTTTTCCCTACATATTATATTGTATTATATTTTATTTTATAACCATCGTTGAACAGCAGACCCAATTTTGGGTTTACGACTACAAATGTTCAACTCTGTAACCTTGCAATTTTGAACCCAATCCAGAAGATAATGGAACTCTTGTATCAAGTGTTGGATAAAAATTTGCCTTCGTGGAGGACATTACTACTCGTGGAGGGAACTAACCTGTATTTGCGTTACTTGGAGAGGAATACCACGAAAACCTCCCATGGAAAACATGAGGAGAAGGGACTCTAACCCATGATCCGTCTACCACTGAGTATAGTTTACATCAACACTGTGGTCAATGCGAGCCCGGTGTGGAATTCGTATCAACCAGTTATCGTTGGGATTCGAACCCGGTTCACCTCATTGAAAGGCGAACGCTCTATCCCAAGAGCCCCCACGGCTTCTTACATTTTATTAAACCATATCTTATTGTTAATTTTACCAGACTCATTAATTACCAAAGTGCTTCGGTTAAAATTTTAGTATTCCCATGGGGCCAAAAACACGGTAAATTTTATCATGTTCTGGTAGTTTGGACGATACTTCTTTCTCAGTGTAGCATTGCATCATAAGCAAATTGCAAAAAAAAAATTAAAATAATAAATGAGAAATAATAATTGAAAAAATTCTTATTTCTTTCAAGTTAAAGAAAGAATATTCGTCAAATAAAGTGACTAAAGCAATTAAGAAATATTTTAATCAGAGTTCTCAAGTTTAATTCTGAGCTTAATAAGTCATGAACCTGTTTATCAATCATTTTAAAAAATCCTAACGACGTTTTGTTTATAAATACTTTTTAGTCTATACGATATTTTCTAACAGCTTCTCTCTGTTTCTTCCAGCAATCTAACGATTTAATGTTGACCATCTTTGCTTCCTAGGTAGTAATTATTCACATTTCGATCGCATTTGCTTTGTTCGTTCCTCTCTTAAATATTATTTAGCTTCTAATGTATATACTTTAAAACTTCAGTTTCTAAAATAACTCAAAAAATATCGGTGAGTTTGTAAATCTGGACGCAGCTCGAAATGCGTGTTTAGGAAAATGGACACAGCTCGAAATGCGTGTTTAGGAAAATGGACACAAATCGAAATACGTGTATACGACGATGAACACAAAAAATACAGTACCTTTTCAGTTTTCAAACCAAATTTAACAACCAGGTGAAGAATAACGTGCTTACTTTTCCATGCTTATTTAAACACAGAGTATAATCATTACTGGGCAAAGTCCCGGACTTTAGGGCTGGGGCAGGCTTAATATATTTCAGGTATAACTTTTCAGTCGATTTCTTCGTCTTCAAAACTCTGAGCAAAAGAGTTTTTGAAAATCCAAATTCCTTCAACATAAATTTACTATCACTGTATTAAATCTATAGCACCGTGACTTGTAAAAACAACTGTTGACTTTTAAAATCTTTTCGGAAAAAAAACTAATTTACAAAATGTACCTAGTGATTTATACAAATTAACGATATCACATTGCGAATTTATTTAGATTGATTTGTTCATTCATTAAAAAAAGATTGGAAAAAAAAGAAGATGGAAAAATGGCAGGAAAAACTATATCCATTTTTGTAAACACGCATTTCGAGTTGTGTCCATTTTCATAAGCACGTATCTCGAGTTGCGTCCATTTTCATACGCATGTATTAGGAGTTGGTTCGTGCCATTTTCGTAAACACTCACTTCGAGCTGCGTCCAAATATAAAATTTCACCGACGAAATATATAACGAAATTATGATGCTATAGATATTCCGTAATGACCGTCCATAAGGACGGTCATTACGGAATATCAATAGCATCATAATTTAAATGCCTATAATGCCACTTATGTGAGATCACGTGTTCATTTATGCTTAGTCATCAACACTACAATCTAAAAATGTGTCAGGATCTTAAAAGACTAAATCTTAAATCTAAGATCTTAAGATCTCTAGGATCTTAAAAAGATTAGCGCAGGTTAAACTATTGAATTGTACAATGATATAAACATCTTACCTCTGGATATTGTTCTGCGAGGTTGTAGTATTCACACGGGTCAGCTTCTATATCAAAGAGGCAGGGTTCTTTGTTAGCATTGCATCTTTTGTCTTCAGAGGGTGGCACACCTTCACATATGGCCCTTGGGAAGGTCAAACATCCGGGCACATTACATGAAATAGCCAATCGAGGATCCTTGGCATATTTTCGCCACAGAATTCTCGCAGCTTTAGACCGTTTCAGAAACTTTAAATATGTCTGCCAAAAAGAAAATGCCATAGAAATATTTTTCAAAATAAAAAAAAACTTGAAAAGAGGAAAATTTACTTTCCATCACTGTAAAACATTTAAAAAAGGACCTAACGACCTAAAAAGTTACACAATAAAGTTCAGTAATGGTAAATACATTTTTTAATACTTCTACAATACGAAAGCATGTTACGTAACTCATGAAATTTTATTTCATATTTTCAAAGTCGTTTAATTTCAATTTAAAAAAAAAATTTTTTAATTATTCATATGAAACGTTTAATGCATATTTATTTAACTAATATATATGAATAAATTATCACAATCAAACATTTAACTAAAAAAATATTATGTTCACTCAAAAATGCACAGTAGCGTGACTAAAGTTTATATTTTAGTACTTTTAAATTCATTAAAATTTAAATGATATAGCTTAAATTTTTTAATTCACCTTATCTTTATTTAAATTTATGCTACATAATGTTTAATGGCATCAAATTCCTTTTTGATCTGGAAAAAGATGCATTTGTACAAACTTGTTCGAATGAAATTTTCCAATACATCTTCTTAATAGTAAAATATTTTGAGCAAGTGTAAAGTTTATAATTAAAGATTCTAAAAAACGTATTTTTAATATTTTTAAAAAAAAACACTTTTTAAATTAAAAATTCAGTTTATTATACTACATTTTTATGTAGGCAGTATATATTGATAGTTTGTGTTTTGATAAAAATGCAAGTTTTTCTACGGTAAAGTATTTATCTCTTGCTTTTTCAAAATCAACTATTAAATTAAGCTAAGCGTATTCTTAAAATATTTTTTATGGTTTTTTTTTATACTCATTTCAAATTAAACGCATCTTTTACACTTTTGTTTGTTTTTATTATTTAAAATAAATCATTTCAATTAATATAAAACATATATTTAAATACTTGATTTCTTTACATTTACTCAGATTTAGATACTGTTTGATTTTGCGGTACTTTCTGATTTCTGATTTTTTTTTACTAAAATTCTTTGTATAACATTAAGTTTTTTTTTATCAAACACTATTTATGTGTTGCGTTGAAAATATTTTATTCAATAATGTTGCTAATAGGACAGTTCTCAAACCAGTTCAGAACTATGACACAAATTTAAACTTTCAACTTGAACAACTATTAAATAACACTTTAATTCACAGTAAATTTATAATTTTGTCTTCCTGTACTATATTAACGGTTCAAAGGAAATTCAGGTTTTCAAAATTATTATTCGTAATACACTTTAATAAAAAATACGCAACTGAAAAGTAAATTTAACCAAATAAATGGTTTTCATACCACGGTCTAATACCAAATTTTACTTTATTTACCAAATTTTTTCACTGATTATAAAATCATCATATTATAAAATCATATAACCAAAGCGCTGCGGTAAAAATTACGGAGCTTTTCAGTATTTCCATTGAGTTAGAAAATTTTACCATTTTCTGGTAATTTAGTTCTGGTAGTTTTGGTCATACTTGTTTTCTCATTGCGAAACTGTGCTATAATTTAAATAAGAAAACAGATTAAGAAAGTACTTTAAATTGATTACTATATCTTTAAATTCTTTCTCAAATATATTTTAAAGTATTTTCCTGTGTTATGGAATATTTTTAAAACTAATTATTATTTTTTACAAATGAAACAGCGAATAGTCTGAATCAGGTAGCAATTGCTACGCAGGTAGTTTTCAAAATATTTCATTTTTGTTTAAAATAATTTCATTTCCTAAATGCCACTGGAAAAAAAATACGATAGTGGTACGAGTAATATTTTTAAATTGGAAAGATAGTGATAATATTTTAAAATAGAAAATTTCTTTGTATAAATATTGAATACCTATTGTATATATCATAAGCATCGTGGTCGGTATGGCCTGGTCGGCAGGGAGCTGGATTCGCGTTTCTGAAAACGGGAGTTCGAATCCAGCCGGCCGAAGACTCACCGTGTAATAAATGGTGATTGGTGCACGTTAAATCTGTCGAGTCTATAAGTCCACCATGTTCACATAACAAATCAAAACCTCTGGGGGTACTGACTTTGACATTGATCATTCTCAATTTCAAGTCAAAATTACGATGAATGAATGGGTCCGCCCTATAAACTGGTGTGACTTATGGGCTTCGAATTCTAGGCCATAGATGTCGCCACTGGAAACAAGAACAATCGTACCCCTTCTGTCTTAATATCCGACAACAACATATCATAAGCATCACTAAAATTCAAAATAGCAGCAAATAACGCACGACTGAACAAGGTCAATTAATGAACTGCAACATGTAAGGCTATCTCAATAAACTAGAATGGATTATCAGAAAAGCAATGTTGTTTCTGGTCATTTGGTTATGCTCTCTATGTAATGAGTGAATCCTCTTGCTAAGCTTTCTCTTAAATTCTGGTTATATATAGACAAAACCAATTTATGAAATGAGATATTTGCTTTTTAAAATATAAAATATTATTTATCAGGTTGAAAAATCTGGGAAATAGTTTTATTTAGCTTTAAATATATCCCAAGATTATTAAAAAACTGAACCATTAATATTTTAATAAGTTAGAAATGTTCTTAATAATCGCTTAGGCATCTTTACTTCTATTATAATAATAAAATCAACGAAAGCATTTAAAGGAATGAAGATAACCTGAGAAAATATATAGTATTATTTAAAAATAGTTGTGGTATTGTAATGAATAATTTCAACGGCGCAATACCGCTCTTTATGAAGTTACCATTCTAAGGCAGGTATTAATGCTTAATATCTATTCTTAATATGTAGTAGCGCTTTGTTCGAATAAAAAAATAAGAAAACTTTTTTTCAGGAAAGAATCAGAAAAAAATGGAGTAAAAAGAATGTTCATCCCATTATCGAAACATCAATTGAATTAAATTAAAAAATACAAAATTATACAAAATTAAAAATTAAATTAAATACAAAAATAATTGCCTCATTCTTTTATAGTCAAGGCAGCTAAGGAACGTTTTTTAAGGTCGTAAGATGTGTAAGACATTATCGCTCCCTCCTTTTAAAAACTGCCAACTAAAGTTTTCAGTTTTGCACTATTTCTAAACTTTGAAGTTAAGATATATCTTTTACTTACTCTTTTATAAGTTGTATGAATTCCAACTGGAGTACGAGGAGGCGAACCTTTTATCGACTTTCCATCTTTGTCATACCAGCCATCAAAAACTCCATCATAATAGCTTCCTTTTACAAGTTTATAGTTTTTCCTTCGAATTCCCACAACCCTTGATTCACTATCCAAGTTAAGTAGAACTTCTTTTCTCGGTGATGGCACCTTGTGAACAAGAGATGGCCACTGATCCACGCCATCTACGTTTTTCAAAACCTTTGCGGCTTCTGGACCACCTGTCAAACAATGTATTCATATGACACATATCCTTAAAATACATCATTAGTTTATATGTAGAACTTTTTGTATAGTATTAAACTATATTTTTTACTATCTGAATAGTTCCAGGCTCCAATCCAATCAACAAATAAGGTAAAATTAAATTTTTTAAAACAATAAAACCAGGGGTGCAGAGGGTTTACAGCACCCGGAGACATATTCAGTTGTTGCACCCCCTTGAAATGTGTCCGGCTTCTGGGGTTATGGTCTTCCAGACCAACTTGCTGTCTTACATTTTATAAAAACTGAAAATCTCCGCTGTTGCAATTGGATTGTAAATTGCATAGTTAAATAAGATTTTGAAAAATTTAAACTGAGTTTTTTTGAAAACAATGCATCCCTAAAACTCCATATATTGACACGAAATGTGTTGATATGGTCTAGCGGCTAAAAGCACTCACTTGGCAAGTCGGAGGTCCTAAGTTCAAGCCTCCAAGCCCTTCCGATTTCTAACAAGACTTCAGAAATATGTAAATCTCGTATATATAAGTTGCTTAAGATATAAGTTATTCTAAAAACATACCCTTAAAAGTTTTATAAGCATAAATTGAGTACACAAGCCTGCAAATGCATGTTATTCCAATAAAGCAATAAACATTCCCTTACGTCATTTCCGTTTCTTCATATCACTGTCTATAAGTTTATGCGTTTTAAGTGGAAACAGCAGTTACCTTATTCTTTGTATTCTGGATGTTTGTTATTAAATCTGATCTACTTGCCAGCGTCAATTCTATTCTTTCTATGCCACAATATTTTTCATAGAATCGGTTAAAATTTTTACAGAGCCTTTGCTACTAATAGAGCACATTTATATGCAGAATGGCTTTGATTGTGATTATAGTTTCTGAATAATTGAGAAAAAGTGTTAATTCCTACGATCTTTTTCATTCTGTATATCGCCATTTTGATTTTTAAAAAATTTATAATTTTAAATAAATACTCAATACTATCATTGAAAACTACGAAAATAATTGACACCCTGTTAAGTTTTAAAGTAAATCGAATGAAATAAAATTGAGGAAATGTTTTCCTGCAATTTGCAAATAAAAGGGGCTGCGTTTAGAAAAATTGTTTTGGAACTCTTTTCTTATTCTGTTGCATGTAGATTGCATGCCTCTGAGGCTACGCAAATGTCCTCTCTTGTTCCGCTCTAACTAAATCTCTCTAACTAGCTCCAGCTCGAACTAAAGTTTTTCATTATCGTAAAAAAAAATTGCAATTTTGTTTATTTTTCTTCAAGCAGCAAGGAGATAAAGCGAAATAATTTTGAGCACAGGTCAACCAACTTAGATCGTTTAATGATGCCCTTTTTTCTCCACTTCCATTTTCAGGAATTATGAAGAAAAGGCACTTCCATGTAAAAGGGAAAAAAAGAAGAAAAAAAAGGACCATCCTGGATAACTTTTGATCTAATGGTCGAACCTTCATGTTCTAGGACTCAAACTTAATGGTTCGAAGGGGTTACCTCAAATAGTCAAATTATTAAAGGCAAACAATATTTTCAAGTTACGAAATTAGACACAAAAATGTACTTTCTCTGAATAATTATACCTTTTTTTCAACCGACTCAGAAGCTAACCCCAAAAATAAAGGTGTTAGCCGCAATCTCGGAAATATGGTCCCCATAGTTTGCTTAGGAAAGCAATCCAAAGTTTGGACCCTTAATGTTAATTTCATTTTTTGCGTATTCCGCCATTTCTCGAGAGCTTTTTAAGTGAATGGAAAAAGTTTTACACACATTTACTAAAATTAACTTTTCCAAAGATAATTCCATGCAAAAAAATAAATTTTAGTTATCATTTATTATTTTGTATTATTTTATTTAATAATAGTCGAAAAAATTTGTAAGAGGTGTATTTATTACCATTATTTTAAAGCATCTATCGACTATTATTAAATAAAATAATACAAAACAATAAATATTTACTAAATTTTTTTTTCTTCATAAAATTATCGTTGTAAAAACGAAGACAACACCATCCATTAAGATTGAAGAGTTAGCTTATCAAACACCTCAATACTTTTTGCATACCTGCTGCTGACAACAAAGTGGGTAGCCAGTCGCTTATATGCATCAATTCATTAGAAATCCTACTCCTATGACGCAAGACAGGACTCCATACGAATGCTACACCTCTGACTCCACCTTCCCAGAGATTGTATTTACTTCCTCTGAGGGGATAGTTTGAGCCCAAGCATCCATCTGTACCATCCACAGCACCACCATTATCGGTGGTAAATATGAATATGGTATTATCCAACATAGATGTTTTCTCTAAAGCTTCAAATATTTCTCCAACTGACTGATCCATAGCCTGTACCATACCTGAAATTATACTCAATTAAACACCTTTGATATGCAGTTAAAGAATTGTTTTTATTGTCATTTTATTTTATTGTTTGATGCAGATACTTGTTTAAGTGAATTATAAATAATGTCCAGAAGTTATATGTAATTTATTACCAGCAAATTTTCTCCTCCTTTCATCTTTAATGCCTACAAGAGGTTTAACGTATTTATCTGGAACTTGTAATGCATTATCGAAATTCCCGCTATGAGGAGCTTGCTGCCCAAAGTAGAGGAACAAAGGCTATAAATGAAAATAATAGAAATCAGGTATATTTTTTATTCCAAAACATAATCCCTTTACTGTATACTTTATCAAAATATTATAATTACTCCTATTTTTTTAACATAGCAAACTTCGCATAATGTAAGCAAATATAAATATTCATTAAACCAAATATACAATTATTGGTTTTTCTAAAATAGTTAGTAAGATAAATAAGAAATTCTTATTAAATATCTATTACGCCAGTGTTTCCCAATATTTTTTACCTTTGTACTTCTTCTATATCCTCTTATTAGATGTTCATTTATGAGAACTCCTTTCTTCTTACCCATAATTCTACGCTCAAAATCTGTTTCAATTTCTACTAGCTGGCTCACTCCCTGCTCGCTTAGCTCTCGTACCGAAAACGCTCTTTAAATTCCTTTCGGATTACTTCGCAATTCCAGCTCACTTCACTCACGCAATGGAGACTTGTGTGTTTTAATATAACTTTGTATGATGATAGTCTATTTTAAAATTAAGTTAGAAAAAATTATGGAAGACATGCATCCTATAACACCTTTGATTCATAAACGTTCCATTCTACACATTACGATTTTATGTTTACAAAATTAAAAATAGGTAAAAAAGTTTTTAGTCATGAGTGTTTTTTTTTNTGTTTTTTTTTGTACATAAACTCATAACACTTCTATTTTAACATAAACTCTCAAAATGATTAAAGGCTAAAGAAAAGAATAAGAAAATAAAAAGAAAAATGGCTGGCTTGTCTTTATTGACAAAACGCATCTCATACCCATCGTAATTATTAAGCATCATTAAAACTAAAATATAGCTCTTAATTGTCAGTGAACCTGTGAAAATTGATAAGTATAATTGAAACAAAAACGTAAAACAATTTTTTTGTTGATATGAACTGTAAACTATACATTTTTCATTCACCCCAGATGTCCTAATTATAGGTTAGTTTATTTCAGCTCTTTGTTGTCCCTGTGGAATAAAGATTTTCTTTCAGAAATAATAACAAACAAGTGCGATGAAGCTTTCGTGCTTATGAGTGCTAACTCGTTCCATATTTTAAGTGTCTGTTATCGACGTGAAATAATAAGGAAATTTTGTTACCGTGTGAGATCAATATATATAAAGATTTCATATTTTGTCTCCCTTTTAATGTTTTTTCCAGACTCTATGACTGAGAATTAAATTTTTGACACATTCATTTTTAAACTTTCTTATAATGAAATATTTTAAATTTCTAATATTTAATTTCTAATACAAATATTTTTATTTTTTTAGCTCTATTTGTTATTTTTAATACAGATATTCTAACATTCAGTTTATTTTTAATGCATACATTTTTAAACTCCGTTCTAACATCTCTTCCAAACTCTTTTCTGTATTCTCTTCGAAACTTTCTTTTCAATTATTTTCCTAACTTCCTTATATGTTAACACATATATTTTTAAACACCATTCTAATAAACTTTCCTAAACTCCTTTCTAATTTCTTTTCCAAACTCTCTTCTAAATTTTCGCCTAAACTCCTTTTTTTAATGTATATGTTACCGGCAAAGTATGAAACGCCGGCATTCTATAGAATGCCTAGGCATTGTGTATAATGCCGGATGTTTTCAGGCAAAGTATGAAATATGAGAAGTATTACATACTTTCCCTACGCATTGTATATAATACCTAGGCATTCTATAGAATGACGAATGCCATTTAGGCAAAGTTTCAAAAAACGTCCTGATGAGGTTGTTACATGCACTTCTGAAAATTAAAATGTTATTCTGAAAAAATAATGAGAGTGCCATTAAAAAAATTTATTCAAAATGCGTAAAGAGAAATGAAAGTTGTACAAAACATAATTTATTCCTTTCTTGTTAAGGGAAACAAAATTTTCATATGAAAAATAAGAAATTGACCTACTTGTTGCAACATGGCAGGCTTGACCGACATTCTGAATTTGACATTTTGGAATGACGTTTTGACGAATCAGAAATGTATTTTATACTTTGCCGGTTTCTCATTTGGCATTCTATAGAATGCCTAGGAAATGTGTGAACTATAAATCATTTCATACTTTGCCGGTTAATTTTAGGCATTACACGCAATGCCTATGCATTCTATAGAATGCCGGATTTCAAACTTTGCCGGTAACATATAGATTCATTAATATATAAATTCATTAATATCAAAATAACGGCCATTTAAATATATTCAGTTAGCTAGTTTACGGGATAGTTAGTACTACATCTAATTGATATGACATAATAAACATTAATCACATAAATGCACTTGACCGCCCTTAACACATTCACGGCTGGTTGCTACTAACGCTTGCCACACTGTTCAGTTTAAAAATGAGATGAAGCATTACTTGTCGTCAGAATTACTCATCCGCAACTGATTATCTCAAAGAAATTTCTCATTCTTCCATGTGAATCATACGATTTCTGTCTTCTTTTTTTTTTGGAACTTGAAATTAAGAAGGTGTCTTGAAAAGTAAGGGGAAAAGTACCAGGAACTCCATGAAATAAAAATCTTCCTTATTTCGTACGAAAATTATCAAGTGTTAAAAATAAAAAATAAACTATTTAAGTAAAAAATAAACTAGTTTGGCTGATCTACCGTCAGAAATTTATCTATCTCGAAATGATTATTTTATTGGCTCGTACTTAACTTGACGTCAAAAGTAGAGAGGGGATTTAATTATCGACTATGTCTACCTTCATCTATCAAAAGGTACCTCTTGATAGAATCAAGTTAACATGTCTCATATACTAGTGAATTGGTATTTAATATTTATTGTGGTAGTTACGCCACATTACTCCCCTTCCAGAATATTATCTGTGATAGATTTCGATGAATGATTATCACTAGTTGATTCAACTATTTATATATTTATATCATTTTCACTCATTATATTTCTTCTTCATTTTTCTAAGCAATTTGCTCATTACTTTTTTTTATTTATTTATTTTCTTTTGTAGCATTTTGTTCATTTATTTTTTCTTCTTCAATATTGTTTATTGACCGGGAAACTTTATTTACTTCACCGGATTATTTTTTATTTTTTTTAATATTGTTTATTACCGGGAGACTTTATTTACTTCACCAGATCTTTTTTTCTTCTTTGAGCAGTTTATATTAAGCAAATCAACTGTTTACTGAGGATTAACCATCATGTTAGCGAGTTCATATCAAGTCCGTAGGTCACCAATGAAGAGAATTATAAATCGACTATGTCAACCTTCTTATATCAAAAGGTACCTCAAGATAGAATCGAATTAACATGTCTTATATACTAGTAGTTTGGTATTTAATATTTATAGTGGTAGTTACGCCACATTACTCCCCTTCCAGAATTTTATCTGTGATAGAATTCGATGAGCGATTACCACTAGTTGATTCATGCTGTTTATATCATTTTCGCACATTATATTTTTTCTTCATTTTTTTATAGCATTTTGCTCATTATTTTTCTTTTTTTTATAGCATTTAGCTCATTTTTTTTCTTCTTCAATATTGTTTATTAACCGGGAGACTTTATTTACTTCACCGAATCTTTTTTTTTTTCTTTGAGCAGTTTATATTAAGCAAATCAACTGTTTAGTGAGGATTAACCATCACGTCCGTAGGTCACCAATGAAGAGAATTATAAATCGACTATGTCAACCTTCATCTATCAAAAGGTGCCTCAAGATAGAATCGATTTAACATGTCTTATATACTAGTGATTTGGTATTTAATATTTGTAGTGGTAGATACGCCACATGACTCCCCTTCCAGAATTTTATCTGTGATAGAATTCGATGAGCGAATATCACTAGTTGATTCATGCTGTTTATATATTTACATCATTTCCGCTCATTATATTTTTTCTTTATTTTTTATAGCATTTTTCTCATTATTTATCTTTTTTTTATAGCATTTCGCTCTTTTTTTTTTCTTCTTCAATATTGTTTATTAACCGGGAGACTTTATTTACTTCACCAGATCTTTTTTTTTTCTTTGAGCAGTTTATATTAAGCAAATCAACTGTTTAGTGAGGATTAACCATCATGTTAGCGAGTTCATGTCACGTCCGCATGTCACCAATGAAGGGAATTATAAATCGACTGTGTCAACCTTCATCTATCAGCAAAAGGTACCTCAAGATAGAATCGAATTAACAAGTCTTATATACTAGTGATTTGGTATTTAATATTTGTAGTGGTAGTTACGCCACAGTAGCAACAAGAAAAATAGATGAATAAAATTAAAAGAAATAAGAGGAAGGCGATCAGGTGCTGCCAGATATAAATCATAACATTTCTTTTCTATATTTCTTTAGAAAATATGAGATGAAAACCGTTTGCAATTTTAAATCTAAAATTATCGAATATTCACGTTCTAGCACTCAATCTTAATGACTCGAAGAGGTTATATCTAATTATTAAGTGCAGACGCTATTTAAGTTACGAAAGCAGACACAAAAACATGATTTTTCTGAATAAACATACCGTTTATTGACGAATTTAGATTTCTGATCCCCGAAATATAAGGAGTTGCCGCAATCTGGGAAATATGGTCCCTATAGTTTGGTCAGGAGAGTGCTCCAAAATTTAGACCACTTAATGCTAATTTTACTTTTCGCGTACTTCGTTATATCTCGAGAGCTTTTTAAGTGTATTGAAAAATACACACAATTTTAAAATTTTTTATCAAAAGATATAATTCCATGCAAAAAAAAAAAACAATTTTTAGTAAATATTGATTATTTTTATTATTTTATTAAAGAATGGTGAAGAAAGTTTCGAATTGTAAAATATACAATCTTTTGCATCATTTTAAAGAACGTAATTTTATGTGGCGAAATATACTTCAGCAAAATCGGTCGAATATTTCCTGAGAAATTAAATTTCAAAATAGACAGATACTTAAAATTCGATCCACCCGGAGGGACAGAAAATAATAATAAATAATATAAAAAAATTGGTGTTGTTTTAGCTTTATTATTTGCGTCGGCATTTGTCTTTTTAGTTTTGTTCACGATTTTATAATGTTGTTCAGTACCGATTTATTAATTCTCTTTTTTCACCCTGTACTAAGAACAAGTCTTTAGCTGGTTATTAATTAAAATAATAAATAATTGATAAAAAATATTTTTTGCGCGCAATTTCCTTAGGAAAAACAAATTTTATTACAGTGTGTTAATAATTTTCAATTTGCTTAAAACTATCAACCAAACCAAACTATCTGGTCATTATTTCCCAGATTGCAGCTACTCTCCATACTTTAAGGGTAAGGAATGTAAATCCATCAATAAAAAGTTATGTTTGCTCAGAGAGAGTACGTTTTTGTGGCTAGTTTCGTTAACTTAAAATATCGTCTGCACTAACTAATTAACGCATTTGAGCCACCCCTTCGAACCATTAAGATTGAGAACTAGTACGTGAAAAGTATAAAAGTAAGAAAGTGACCTAATATGCAAAGTTATTGCTCATTTTTTGTAGATTTATTTATTTATTTAATTTTATTTATTTTTACTTATTTATTTGTTTATTCAATTATTTATTTGTTTCTGGATACTGAACGTCCTTTACGGAATTTCAATTTATTCCATTATCCGAATACGGAATAATCGTAGCATGCCCAATTTTAAAATTGTATTTTTAAAGCCTTTCGCACCAACTAGAACTCATTTTAAGTTGTAATGAATAGAATTTTTTTTAATTATTTCAATTGTTGCTACACTTATTTTTGTGAAGTATACTAAGTAACTTACTGTAACATAAATAAACATTACTATTCAGAATAAAAATAAAAATAAAAATATGCTAATAAATTTTAAGAAAAATTAGTGCTTATAAAACACCGTCGGATTTTACTCTCTAAAGTCACTTGCAAAAATATGCAAATTTTGAACAATTACTTGTGCTTACAGACGCAGATATGTTTTAAATATTAAAAAATTTATGCTTACAAGGTATAAGTTTCAAGGTATAAGTTCAAGGTATCATTTACTGAAACATTTACCAATGACTTTTTAAAAACGCGCCCTCTCATTGCAACGTCACTACAATGCCTTTTGATCTTTCGAATCATTATGAATAAATTGTGATAATATAGTTACAGCATTTTTGATTTGCGATATACAAAATGACTTCTGCATTGTCATAATGTTTCTCCCTCGTGATTCCCGAAAAGTCATTCCTGAAAATTTAATTTAAAGCGAAAATGAGAATGAAATATTTTTTAGTAAGATATAGTATAGTCAAAATTGTTTTTATTTTTTATAGTAAAGCAAATCAATAACTCTTTTATAATGGGATATCTTGGTCCAAATAAAATGGAACAAGTTGGACGATTGAAATAATTCAAAGGACTTATTAAAAGCCTTGATCTAGTTATTTTAATGAATTATAAAATTATGTGCAATTTTAATTGCTTAAAGTTATTTATAATTTTCGGAAGAAGAAAATCTTTCAAATATTCTTTTCTACAAAATTTAAGTTACACTAACCTGAAATGAGGGAAAAGATTCAGGAAATAATAGGTAGTCTTATTTACAATAAATATTATTAGTCACCTTTTGTTTAACGGAAAAATTTAAAGTAAGTGGAAGAAAAAGACCTTTTTGAAATAAGATATCTAATTCACTCCTAAAGATTAAAAAAAAAATTTCTGTGTCTTTAAATATTAAGAGAATTATTAAATTTTATCTAACATAAATTTTTTTTCAAGAAATCATGAGTATGAAGAAAATTTTTTATACACATAACATATTAAGATTGTTTCTGCTTGTTTTAAATGCTTTAATATTCTATAGTGAATTAATTTTGAGTGATGCAATTATAAAAATTTCTTATATTCAAATGTTGATAGTGAAAATAAAACAGTTTTTATTTTTCCTTAAACCAGTTTGGAAGTATCACACTATATTTAACCCAGCTATAGCTTGATCTATCCTTTAATAAATTTAATTTCTTATGAGTTATTGAAAAAAATAACCATATTTCATTTTGAAAAGTCAGTAATGATAGATGTTAAAAAAATTCATCTATAATAATTCATCTATAATGATTCAATAAATAATTGTGTGTAGTAAGAATCATTAAATTTCATGTTTTACAACACTTCACTTAATTTATAAATCTATTTATCCTTAAAAAAAAACACATTTTTCATTTAAAATACTAAAGAAAATAATGCAATTGCTGAATTGAATAACATACATTTTTTAATATTGTTTCTGAATATGTATTACATAGTCTAACGTGCCACATGGATTGAACCAAGGTATCTCAGTCAAAAGGTAAGCTTATTCACTCTTTTAAAAAAAAGGTAATTTTTTTTAAAAAGAAAATAATAATATTAATAAAACAGTGAATGCCGAGGGAGGAGCGTTCACAAATTTTTCTTGTAAAAAAAACTAACAGGGACAATTTTTAAAAAGTGGACTTACTAAACTAATAACCCAATAACTTCAGTTTCATTCCCAAACGAAAAGTTTCGTCATCCAGTGTTACTTTTAAGCTATTTTGGTAACTACAGCCATATAACATGGTAAATGTAGCACAGTGGTGTAAGCCACATGGTTTTAGTTTTTTTACTATTTTGCATACCATGAATTGAATGCGGATCACATTTGTCCTAATGGTAAGTTTTATTGAATGGGCATTCCTCCGAAAAAAACAACAATTTCTATCACCTAATATTTGTAATTAAAAAAGAAATTTTAATTAATATAAATTTTATTGATATTGTGAATTAAACCATTTAAATAGTTTTGGAAGGACACAATTTACATTTATTAAAAAACCGAGATTTTGAATAACTGTTCAGAAATTAATGAATTTAGTAAAATAATAAAAACCTAAATTGTCAAAAATATGTTTAAAAAAATTTATTACTTTACAAAATGAATCAATTTAAATTAGAAAATGAAACGCATAGAAAGCATGGATTGTAGTAGTGTTGATTAGGGTATAGTATTTTAAAAATAAAATTAAACTAAAAAAAATTCTGAAGTTAATTAATGAGTTATATGGGATTTGGGATAAAATGAAATAAATTTTTGGATGTCCCTTTTAACAAACGTAGTATAACAGAATTTAAATGGAAGGTGCCAAGGTTTTTTTCGTTAAAATAGTTTAATGNCGATCAGGGGGCGACGAGTTTTCAAAAGATAAAAACTGCTTATAATATTAATAGCAAAAGCTATTTGAGATCGAAATTGAAAACATATATGGAACTTATGGTTCTGGTGTAGACAAAGAATTACGATAGTTAAAAATTAAAAAAATTCAAGTTCAGGATAGTTTTCGTCATACGTTTTGGTATCGCAGGCGAAAGTCTGACCTTCAAGAATTCTCTTTTGTTTAAAATCATGGTCTTTTCTATACCTTCTTCTCCTCAAATGTTCCTCCCTCGTCCCATTCCCTGCTCTCCGATTTTAAAAGGCATGTAATAGGAGAAACGGATTGATAGGCGAAACATTTATATAACTCTAAACCTCACATAATTGGTAAACTCTTATTTTGCCTGCTACTAAAAAAATTGTTGAAATCATGTTGGGTGAGGGATCGAGCAATAAGATAAAACCTCTGAGCAATAACACTGTTTCCAGGCGTATTGATGAGATGGCCGCAGACGTTGAATCAAAACTCATCAAATTTTTGAAAGGAGGTAAATTTGCGTTGCAGATTGATGAATCAACTGTGATAGATAACAAAGTTATTGTATTAGCTTACGTGAGATTCATAAATGAGAGTAAGGAGATTAACGAGGAAATGTTGTTTACAAGAACTTTGATCACTGATACAAAAGGATCGTCGATTTTTAAATTGGTCAAAGACTATTTTGAGGAAAAACAGATTCCTCTTACAAATGTAAGTGCTTATGCTACAGATGATGCTCCTGCCATGTCTGGTTGTCATAATGGGCTTCTGGCGCACCTTAAAAAGAAGTACCGGAGGTCATCACCAGTCATTGTGTCATCCATCGTCAACATTTGGCTGCAAAAAAGTTGAGTGGTGCCCTGCATGACACTTTACAATTCTTTATTTCTGGCATCAATAAAAACAAAGCTGATTCTCTCAATGACCGTTTGTTCAGAGAACTTTGCCGTGAAAATGATGTAAATTTCGAACGCTTGCTCCAACATACAGATGTGAGATGGCTTTCAAAAGGAAATTGTTTGCGCCGTTTCTTCAAATTGTTTGACTCGGTTACTGAGTTTCTCGACACCACTGATCCTGTTTTAAGTGAGAGTTTGAAGCAACGCAAGTTGGAAACTGCATACCTCACGGATATTTTTGAAAAAATGAACGAAATCAGCGTAAAAGTTCAAGGAAATAAAATTAACATTATCAAGGCTAAGGGAATCATATCTTCATTCATCGCCAAGTTTGATATCTACAAGTCAAATATTGGTCGCAAAGAGCTAATGCAATTTCCAACTCTTAAAAAGTGTTCGGTGGCAGATATCGAGATTCTCGAAAATAAAATCTTAATATTTACTGATCACCTTGACCAGATAAAAACTGATACGGAATCAAGATTTAAAGATTTGATGAAATTATAAATTCCGGATTGGATTTTCGATCCTTTCTCTTTCGAAGTTGTGGATAAGCTCACTTCCTCTTTGCAGACTGAAATTTTAGATTTGAAGAAGTATGACTGTGAGGCTAAAGTCGTCTTTACAAAATACGGTTACGAGTTAGCTTGGGTAAAGCTTATGGACACTTATCCACTATTGTGGAAACAAACTGAGCCGCTCCTCATCTCGTTCCCGTCAACATATTTAGTGGAGAGAGGATTTAGTTCTGTCTTGCAGCTTCTTACAAAGCAAAGATATAGGTTGGACATTTGCTTCAGAGGAGACCTGCATTTAAATCTGACGAACATAAAACCTGACATTCAAGCTTTAACTGAAATACACCAGGCACAGGGCAGTCATTGAAGTGGTAAAAATGTACTTTCTCACTCTTCAATTTTTTCTCAAATTATAGTTATTAACGTTTTAACTTTTTCTTGATTACATTAAAATATGAATTTAAAAAAAATGCACTTTTGTTTTGATTATTTCGTTTTAAATATCATTTCTTTTTGAAAAAAAAAAGAAGTAAAATTTTTTTAGTAATTAATAAAAATGGCAGGATGAAATTGCTTCCTTATTTATATTACAATTTAAATTAAAACTTAGGGTTTGGTTGCTCACAAGCAACAATGAATGGTTTTTGAGCAAAAAGAGAAAGGGGCGATGTGTGTCAGCCAACCCTAAGAGGGGGGCGATGGTCCACAAAAGGTTGGGAACCACTGGACTAGATAGTACAGAGAATGAAATAACAGTCATGTCTTGCCCGGGATTTGAACCCAGCACCTTTCCGATGCAAGACCAGTTCCCAGACCCCTAAACAGTCCGGTCGGCACCATGCTTTTTTCTGAATCGTTCCTTAAATTTCGAACAACGACACGATCAGTAAAATGTTCCTACAAGAAATCAAATATAGCGGCAGCTCGATGGGGTCTAGCACCATCCAGCATAACCCACGATGAACCATTTGAATCAACCAAAGCATTGAGCATGGCTTCATCAATATAGTTCTACTGTTATTGTACGGTATAGAAAAAAATCCAATGGTCCCGTCCAATGATTCCTTCAGACGATGAAACGGCCCATACCGTGACTTTTGGTGAATATAATGATGATTAGACAGACACGTGGGGATTTTCTGTTTCCCAAAATGACCATTTTTTTATTCACAAAGCCGACCATGTAAAAAATGGGCTTCTTCGGAAAACCAAATGGATGTCACATCAATATCGCTACCATTAATGTTTTAAGGCAATTTGTTCGCGAACATGGCTCTTTGATTGGCGGTGCAAATATTGAGAGGTTGGGGACACTGAATTGGAAATGGATACAACTGGGTGTAAAATCTTTTTCGTGATTTTATGCATTGAGGTTTTTCGTAGTCCACCCTCAAGTGCAATTTTCCTGACAGGCGACGGAGTCCGCATTTGGCTCTCCTGTTGGATTGCCTAGACATTATCGTCAGTGAATAATGTATGGGGTGACCTTACGTTTCCTTCACTCTTCCAATACTTTTTCAATTTTTTTCAAACTAACTTTAACTTGCGATCTTCCCCGGCTTTTTAGTCACATTAAATGTTTGTTAAAAAATTCGCCTGATTTTCACAACATTATGGCTCGATCGGTTATTTGATGATAATGAAAGCATATATTGTTTCCTAAATTTTATAAACTAATTTTATATCACGACCACTTACCAGCAGACACAGTTAGAGACACAAAATTAGAAACTTACCAGCAAACCTTGAACATTGAGACCCAAAACAAAAAACTTATAAAATATTTGCAGAAAATAAATTTTTGAGAAAACATTGCTTGAAAAGTATAAAATAATTCCCTTTTCGTCAAACTTAAACGAAAAAGTGAAAAGTGATGCAAAATATTTTCATAAGGCACATCCTGTATGAAAATTCACCCTACATTTCTTGTGTCAGGTAATACAAAAATGGAATTGCTTTTTATCTTTTTTATTTTGTTAAAAATAATTATGCTTTAATAATGTCGCATTTAATATTAATATAAGAATTATTCTGACCTTGACGCCATTTTACATGCATAGATACTAATATATTATTCTATATATTAAAGTATAAATATAAGGAGTTACAGAAAACACAATGTAAAAATCCTCTACAAGCTCAATTGTGATAATCTATGTATAAAATTTCTTACTTCTCTAGCCAAATGTGTGAAGTAATCTTCTACACCAGAATAGTAACCAAAAAAGGAATCAAAACCTCGCTTCAAAGGAAGATATTCTTCCTTGAAAAATCCCAAGTGCCACTAAAAGAAAAAAAAATTCATATTATTTCAAGAAGAAAATTGTAAAGCAAAATTTTGCTATACAAAGTTATCGAAAAAATATGAAGCATTTTGTATTCTCATTAAAACTAAATTTTATATTTATGGAAATAATTCGTGCGTTGAAATGAAGTGAAAAAAAAATTCTATCCAGCAATTTTTCCTATGCAAGAAACATTAACTAAGATGTTCCCCAACTCAAATGGACCATATGTCCGATTGCGTAGTCTCCTCGAACCACCGATATAATCTTTCTGATCTTTTTCTGGGGATACATATCAACGCAGGAGTGGTTTTAAGCTCATTGTAGACAAAGAAACAATTATTGATAACAGCCGCTTAAAATAATCAAATAAAAACGCAGCAATTCTCCACAGATGCTTCCCAAGACATGGAAGGTAAATAGATTTGAATATCGAGCGACTAATTCTGCGCAAATCAAAACGTATAATGAAAGAATATTCTTAAAATCATTGTGGACAGTTAAATACTTTAAAAATTAGCCAATTAGTTCAGCCTTCTAAAAAATAGCTCAGCTAAGAAAATCAGCCACATAAAAAAATAATCAACTCATACTTCAAAAGAAACTAATATTTAGATACACTTCACAAGACATTGAAGGATATGGCTTATCGTCTTTCTATCTATTGATAACTAGTGATACACCAATTTGAAGTCACGATAGCAGAGTGCTCCTAAGATGTGAACAATTATTGATATCAGCCACATAAATCGAATCATAGCCTCAAAAAAAATTGTATTCCAGAGATGCTCCTCGAAAGATTGAGGAAGATAGATTATCGTGTTGATATCTATCGAGAAATTAATAATGTATGCATCGAAACGCACATCGCAAGAATTTTCTTAAGATCATTATAGACAGTGTAATAATCATTAATAACAGTCACTAAATAAATAAATAGATCGTAGCCACAAACGAGACTATATTTTATACGAAGATGCTCTACAGAACATCGAGGAAGGGGGATTATCGTCCTAATATCTATCTAACGATTAATGGTGCACGAAGCGTATGAACTGGTTAACTTGAAACTTCTCTGAATATTTTAATAACAAATTTGTGCGCATTAATTAATTCAATTTGTAATTCCGACATCATTTTTCGATTACCCTGCGTAAATTAAATAAATGTACTTACTTTGCCCACTGCATGTGTCGCATAATTCAAAGACTTCAAATACTGAGGTAGAATTTTTTCTTTTAATGGCAAACCCCAAGGAGAAGCTACAGTAATAACATCATCCTGAAATCCTATTTAAAACGATCTATATTAGTTTGTAACATTTTGAAATTACTTACTAAGTACTAATTTTAATGTGTAGATATGGATTTTATCTGAATCGAATAAAAATTCTCAATCGAGTAAAAGTCGCTCAAAGCTGAATTGAATAATAATATATATGTATATATATTTGTTTGATATATTCAACATCAAAGTTTTTACACACCAGTTGAATCCTACAATAATTTAAGACATCCTGGATTGAGGATTTTTTTTTTCTCGTGGTTTTTACACTCGCTCTGAAAATACATTTCCTTACACTAAAAACCCAGGTGGCTTGCCCGCGTAATTAATTGAAGTGAAATTTTATATCGTGATATTTAAAGGTATGCGCTTGAGTTTATGATGATTTTTAACGGTGAAGCTATCACGGTTTCAGTTGTAGTAAAAAAAAATTTAACTGCATCTGTTTTTTAACGTGATCCTCGCAGTAAAAAAAAATAAAAGGGAGTTAAAATTACATTTTTACTTAAAAATGAGTCTGCTAAGCACTGTCGAAGAAAAAAGTACTTAAGATGTTTCCGACGAATTTGCAATTCAGCTCTACAGAACGCTTTTAACAAGAACAGGAAGAAAGTAAATTGCATGCTGGATATCTTTCTCTCTGTATCCCAGTCTAGCATCGTTTCAATTCAGCTTGAAACTACATTCGCTATGAGAAAAGTAGATTTTGCTATTGAAAAATCTTAAACTTTGTTCACTGTAAGTATAAGCGAGAGTGTTTATTTGTTTTTAATCATCACAATCTTGAGCTCATATTTATAAATAACACGGTGTGTCAATAGGTCAAGCCGAATGGTGCTATAGGTTCATACAGTATACGGAAGAGATTTTTTTTTCTTATAATAATACAATCGCAACAGTTTTTAATGCTTTCGGACCTGATCTTATTTAACTAAAAACATTTTCATTTAGAAAAACGTGGATTTCTAGACATATACAGTTGAAATTTTTAAACTCAAACAGACTAAAAAAATCCATTTAATTATTTGTGCTTTGTTTTATTAATTTTATCATTGAGCTAGCAACTCCCATAAAATAGAATTGTATAAAATACCTAGCCATTTTAAATTAGCCGACAACGTATGAAATTATTACACGTTAATCACATTACCTAGGCATTATATAGATTATCTAATGACAAATCGGCTAATTATGAAATATGATAATTTCATAGTTTTAAATAGTATGATTGTGATTTATTTCAATTTATTGATAGAAATTTCTTGATATAACGAGCAATGTTTATATTTTATTTGGTTTTCTTTAATAATGAAAAAAGTATTTTTTTTTTATGTAGAGAAAAATTGCGTAAATCATACCACCTCAAATTTTATGAAGAAACGTTGCTTTAGAGCGTAAATTAGTTTTTTTTTCATATGGAGATCCATTCGTAAGAATCAAGTCGCCGTGTTCTTGCGTTACGTTTTCATTTAAGTTTATCAGCTTTACAAATTTTTAATGCTATTTTTGAGCATCCAAAATAAAGATGTAGCAGAACTAAATTAATGTACAGATTAATTAATGCATCGTTTAATTCTTAAATGACTTATTCAGGCTCTACTTGTTTCTTTGGTAGCTAACTCTTGTCTAAAACTTAGAATAGCACTTTGTTTAAAACGTTATGAACTTGCAAAATCGTACATCGTGTGCATTGATAAATAGTACCAGTTCGATTTAGGATAAACAAATTTCCTGCCAATTGAAATGCGGCTGTAAAAAATTTCTGAATTAACTTTCACCCATTTATAAATTTCTCATTTTTTGTAACGGAAGCTTATAATAAGGCTGCAACAATTGAGAACAATGTTTAACATCATTTAGCTATTCTGATGCATCAATCATTAATTAACTTCTCAATTAAAGGCTTCAAGCGAGTCGATTCCCCATTTCTAAAACATAAGGAAAGTTGATTATATACCCCAAAAAATGAAGTCTAAAAAAGCTGCAGATATAAAAGTCACCCTTGAACATTTTAACATGTAACGCCATGATCAGTAGCATTTTGTAAGCTTATAATGCTGTTACTATAATTGTAATGATTCAAAAATTTTATATCACTTTTCTTATTATGCTATTAAACGAGTGATTGGGTGTACCAATGGTACAGTTATTCACTTAATCATAAACAATTGAGGATGGTACTGTTTAGGAAGCAGGTGTTACAAATTAGACAACCAGTTCCTTAAATCGTACCACTTGCTAAAAGACTTAATTTTCAGTACTTACTGGGTAAATATAACTGCCAAAAAAAATAATATAAATAGCTGGATGATTGCCTCTTATTGTTAAAATATTTCAGTATCTGTGAGAAATAAAAATTTAAGTCTTTTAAACAACTCTCTTTTATTTGAATAAAAATTTTATAATATCAGTTTTCATTGTTTTATTGTAATTTTTCTTTCATAATTTTTTTCATATTTTATCAACCTTTCATAATTTTTCGTTGGTAGGTTGGTTCTAATGTCACTTGCCACACGGGCAAGTCTGCTTGGTGAAACCGAGCAAATTTAAGGCAGAGTGTGCGTTTCTTGTTTTTCAGTGGCGCCATCTATGGCCAAGAGTTCGACTTCTGCCACACCATGCGTCGCACCCGTTTATAGGGCGGACCCATTCATACATCCATTCATTCATCCACAGATCGTAATTTTGGCCTGAATCAGAGAGCGATCGATCTCCAATTCAATACCCCCAGTGGTTTTGATTATAATTTTTCCAAAAATTATTTAAAGAAATAGTAATCGTAAATCATAACATCTTCACTATCACTATTTTTAGATATCTTGTTCAAAGAGCAGTGGTTATTGCATAAAATGGCTAGTAATTCTATAGAATGCTGACATGCATTTCATGCATTGTTGGTAGAATACAAATGGAAATACAAATGGAATGGAAGACAAATGGGAAATGCAAGAAAATGGAGTGGAGATCATTCCTCTAATTCTTAAAACTCATAAAAAGCCTCCTTACCAATTCGTAGGGGATATTTTCCTGTCATTAAAGATCCACGAGATGGAGAACATGTTGATTGGACGTAATACTTGTTCAATATAATCCCATCTCTCGCTATAGCATCAATGTTGGGTGTCGGTATTTGTTTGGATCCATGAAAACTAACATCACTAAACCCCTAAAAATATACATCAAATATGCTGAGACGATTTTATGAGTAAAAAAAATGTACCATCATAATTGTAACGCCAAATTAACAAAAAAAAATAACACAAAAATCTTTTCTTCGAGAATCATAAGAAAAATATTTACACTGGTGGTCTGATAAATTTAAAGACATTAAAATACAGGTTATGCTGCTGAAGAAAGAAATGTTTAACGCAATATCAGGGTCATACAGGGCATAAAGTCAAAAAATATAAAAAAATAACGGGCCAGCAAGAGCATAAATAAAATAAAATAAACGCATAAAGAGATAAATTTAAAAAATAAAAGCAGACGATAAAATTAGAACAACAGAGAGTTGTTGATATTTTGGAGTATTTTTTGGTTTTTGGAATTTGTAAGTTTATCCTTACCCATTACGGGATTTTCTACATTTTATTGAAAGATTATTATTAACCCGCAACGGGTAATTTAATGTCGTTACTGTATTTGTTGTCATGTGAAATAAATGTTTTTTTTAATAAAACAAAGAACTGTTTCTTAATATAGCTTGATGCGTTACAAGGGTCACAAATACAATAATAATAAGGTTTAAACCTGAGATCCAAAAAAAGTTAAGTTCCAACCACTAAATACCCTCATCGTAGTAAGTGATAAAAAGTTGCACACTTTTGAGCTTCGAGTGAGAGAGGATAATGAAGTAACAAATTGGTAAAATATGGTATTCTTGCCAATGTATTTCCTTCCTTCCGAATCGAATGACTCCCAATTCGAAACGATATGACTAATAGTTTAGAAGTTATAATAGCTTTAAACGTAAAAAATTTTGTATTGAATTTTTAAATGTATATAGATTTACAAAACTGTTTGATGTTTTTTGCATGTAAAAATTGTTTCTACGAAAAAATATCTGACGTATTTTAAGATTAAAGGCCATTACATGGAGTACACTTGTCCGGAAAATTATGATTATTAGAAATAGCTTTATTGAATATAAAGGGTTATTTTTCTTTAATCGTCAACTTAGTGACGTTTTTTTTTAATTAAAAAAAAAGTAGTGCGAGTTTATGAGTAAACTATAGCGATCTAAAAGACACTCCACCTAAAACGGGACCAACTAACAACTCTTTTCCCCATGTCCTCCTGAAATAGGACAAATAATAAATTTCTATGAGGACAGATGTTCAATGATAGATTTTCTATCATGACATCAAATAAAAAGCCTAAAATGGTACCTTAATGGTCAAATAGTACTTTTAAGAAAAAGTTAATAAAATCCTTACAAAAAAATTGGAATTAACATCTAAAATCGACTTTTAAAAGTTTGATAAAAATTATCCCCTGCCCCATACCAACTTGCAGGAGAGGAGCTGTTTCACCAAGATGACCACCTCATTGTCTAATAATAATTCCTAAATTCATATCAGGAACATTTAAACTATTGAAAGCGCCTTAAAATGTTAAGAGCAACTAAATCTCTAATTTTAATTTTATAACCGTCGTTGAGCAGCCAACCCAATTTTTTTGGGTTTACCACTACTAATGTTCAACTCCGTAGTCCTATAATTTATTTGGCTTCGTGGAGGACTTTTTTGATGGAACTAACCCGCATTTGCGTTACATGGAGAAGAAACTCATGAAAATCTCCCAAAGTTATCCTGACGGCAAGGGGACTTTAACCCATGATCCGACTACTACTGTGAATAATTTACGTCAGCGCTGTGGTCGGTGCAAGCAGAAAGCGGAATTCGTATCGACCAGCCATTGCTGGGATTCGAACCATCTCATTGGAAGGCAAGTATTCTATCCCTGAGCCATCACAGCTAAAGAAATCTTTAGATTTTAGATGATAATATATACACCGAAGAGCCATTACATTATGACTACGCTGCTAATAGCATGTAGGACCACATTTAGCCCTCAAAACTGCTAGCACCCGCCGTGGCATTGATTCCACAAGGTGCTGATAGGTAGTCTGAGGTATCTGGTACCAAGCACTCACCAACTGGTCCTGCAATTCCCTCACATTGTGAGGGAGCGTGGCAGCACGAATTTGGTTTTTCAAGTAGGACCAAAAATGCTCTATTGTATTAAGGTCAGGTGAATTTGGGGGCCAAGACATGACTTGAAAGTCACTGGAATGTTTCTCGACGATTCGACCCTTATCACGTGGTGCATTATCCTGTTGGTAAACACCTTCCCCAGCAGGAAAAACTATTGTCATGAATGGGTGAACCACCTAGTCTGCAACTATGTTCAAGTAGCTTACAGACGTCAGGGATTGTTCCATGAGGATTATGGATCCTAATGTGCCCCATGAAAACATTGTTTCTGGGNAATATCATTTGAAAACCAGGGCGAGCCCATTGTTATAGATGGAGGGTGGTCATAATGTAATGGCTCTTCGGTGTACATATTCTCTTTTTCAGTTGCCGAGACCACACTAACACTTCAGTAGTTAGTGAAGCACCTCAAATGATCTGACAGTATTGGTTACACTAACCCTCCCTTGTTACTGTGTTAGAAAATATGCGAGTAATGCCAGCCTATCCTTTTGCCAGCATGCTCCTCTACTTCTACGCAAACATAAAACTCGTATTTTAATTACGACTTAAAACACACAAAAGATTCAAAAAAATGGGACTTCGATATTATACTGCAAACTAAAATGTGTAAAAATTCGTAAAACACATTTTAAAGAAAAATAAAACTGCGCATTTCGACAAGAATAATCTTACCTTCATCAGATAACTACCTAATAAAGAGAGACTCATATATCCTCATCAAAAAGTATAGTATTTTTCTACATATTGTGTCTTAAAAAGTTTTTATACATATTCATGTGTTTCCCATCAGTTTTAGTCCTATATAAGTAGTGTTTGATAGCAAAAACAAGTATGTGACAAAGAAAGAGATTTGGAAAAATGGATCACATGTTTAAGGAAATCATTTAATTTGAATTTTTAATACTTCACTTACCAGGTCATCTACAATCATGAACACAATATGTGGCTGTTTGGAATCTTTAGCCTTGGCATGACATGACACAATTAGTATCAAAGCCAATCTTCCCAAAATTTTCATCATTTTGGAACTCTAAGAAATTACAATATGAAATTTATACTTAATTGTTACAACAAAAACAACAATTTTTAAATATTTACTTTCATATACTATACTTATATTAACATTCGGATCTGGAAATACAGTTATTATGCATGTATTGCATTGCGTGTAAAGTTTTTTTGCGGCAATAAATTTTATTCCTTATTCCAAACAATTACATGCTAAATACTTACATAAAGTGCCCCAAAATACTCTCTTTTAAAATATACTTTTGGAATCCTTGTGCAAAATGAAATGAAAGGTATATGCGAAAGACACTATGTTTAGAAAATGTTGAGGGGAAAAAACCGTTATAAGGATCTGATGAATCATTAGCAAGATTATAAAGGTTAAAATTTGTTTGATTGCTGGTGAAAACTTTGAGAAGTAGAAAGAGGCTGTAAAAAATACCGAATTCAATTCCGCTACCAAACTGATTTTTATGTTTTAATTCCTCCTTGAATCCAAGTCACAAATGAAGTAAAAAGAACGTACTGAAAATACGTTGATGTTTAAATAAAGGGAAAAAATGATGACCAAAATCTGACGAATTTCCTACCGAAATTAAAATAATGAAAACCTATTTGATTAGTAAAGGAAATTCTGACTAATTGAAAAACAACTATTAAAAAGATCTTCAAGTTTAATTCAGTAATCTTACTTATTATGATGCTTTTAATCCCATCCTCCTCAGCAGCCGTTCGTCAGATTTTTATGTATGTATGTACGTATGTACTTATGTATGTATGTATGTATGTATGTATGTATGTATGTATGTATGTATGTATGCATGCATGCATGCATGTATGTATGTATGTATCTTCCACCAGCTGCAATGCACTCTGCACACCTGCGGTGTAGGGAGTGACGTAAATTAGCAAAAAATGCCAAGAATTTTTCTAATATCGCTGGCAACAATGGTGAACCGGTTCACTAAATCCATATCGCTCTCAATGGGACAGTCAAAGATAAGGCTTTTCATGTGACCCCACAGGAATAAATCCTAACACGAGAGATCAAAAGATCTTGATGGCTAAGATGTGGGACCACTTTGACCAATACATCGCCCTGGGAACGTTGCATCGAAAGGGTTCTGCTCAATCAAGTTTAAGTGTGCTGGCAATCCATCGTGCTGAAATCTAATCATCGACCTAATACATCACGACCTAATGAATCGGCGGTAACAGCTCCGGCAACTCCTCTCGTATGAATGTGTGATACGATTCGCCACCTAGACGATGTGGCAGAAGGTATGGGCCAATCAAATGGTCATGAAGAATCTCTACCCAAATGTTTACGGAGAACCGCTGCTGAAGCGACAGAGGATGCGTGGCATGTATATTAGTAGATGCTCGCACGTGTGAGTTGTAGGTATTAAAAACGTTGGTAAACACATCATAACATGTGTGCCAAAATCTGGCTGGGCTGCATTTTGCTGAAGGAACCATGGTGCGAAACCAACATGTAGCTGATAATCCGCCATTGACAACGCTTGTGCCTTTTGCATACGAAAAGGTTCATTCCTTCCTCATGCACCCTATCGTGTGAAAAATAATATTTGGTAGATAAAGACACCAAACATTCTTTAGGGTCACGTTGACAGCTCACGCAACTGCTCGCATGCTACATCCCGATTGATCATCCAACCTACGTGGAATGCCCTCTACTTTTGCGGCATCATGACATTCCTGTCATGGCCTGCGTCTTGCTTGGACTCGGCTTGGGATCCCGTTTCACTGAGTCACCGATGCAAACTGTGGAATGTTTTCCTATTTGGAGTGCGTATCATTGGAAACCATTCCCTGTAAATGTTTCGTGCCTTTCTCATCCACCGCACCGTACAGCGTTTGAGGCGTTTTCGAAAAGTAAAGATACAATACTGTACACTCACTTGAAAGAGTTTTATTTTATTAAATGTAAATTACAAATTACTTACTGGTACTTCCTGCTTAATATAGTTGATGCCATTGTCAAAGCATTTTTTAAGTCTGGGTACAAGCTTTTGTATTCCAAATTCATAAGACTTTGCCACCTGTTGTCGGAACCATACGTCATTGTAGTCGCGAAATTTTCGCCCCACAAGATGTGCTATATGGCGGTTAATCTAAAATTTTACATTTAAAACTTCTGAGTAGTGATTTGGTTTGAAGCGCTGTGTAAAGAGGAGCGTTTGTCATGGAACAAGAAAACTCCGCTTGCCAGCAGCACCCGCGTTTGTTCTGAATTGTATGCTTTTTGTATACCTTTTTCATGACTCTTAGCAACCATACAAAACATAAACTTTTGCATAACGAAAACGCATTATGGGAAGCATTTTTCAACTGGCAGAAGTCTGAATAGGAGCAGACATTATAAAGACGTCCTGCTCAAACAAGGCTCACCATAAAAATAACGAATGTCCTCAAGGTAAAACGAAACGTCCACGATTGCAGTCCATGCTGCCAACGGACTCTCAAAAACTTATCTTTTGCTGCGATCGGTGAAGTATCGTAACTTTCCGAAAACGCCTCACCATATGAAGTTTTTAAAGTAAGAAAAAGTTTAATAATACTGAAGAACAAACGATGTTAAATATCTAAATCTGTAAATTATCTAATGTTATTTGTAAACTTTGATCATGCACCTGCATTGCATTCTCATTTAAAAGAGTATTTTCTTTTTTGCAATTCCTCTGAAAAATGTATCATTTGAAAAAGTTAGTATGGACCTGCATTTTATTTTTGTGCATGAAAAAAACACTTTTATTTTTTACGACTTCTTTGAAAAATTTTAGATTTCAAAATTGTTAAAATATTTTAAGACTTTCATTAAAACTTTCAGAAATGCAGTAATTTATACATGCAGACACAAATATATATATATATTTGTTACAGATTGTAATACAGATAATTGATAAAAGTAAAATTCAACTTTCCTTACCTTTTAAAAAAGGAGCAATTTTCAAAATATTTGTTTTAAACAAGAGATGATTTTTTGTGGAATAAATAAAATTTTATTTAGTAAATAAAATTAATTTGTTTTGAAAATTAAAAAGGAATTTACTTAATAAGCAAAAACATTCAAAATTGTTAATTAAGCTTTTTAAATTTTACCGTTTTCATGCGAACTTCATCTCTTGAAAAGATGTTTTTAAAAAAGGACAGATTTTAAGTCATCTCTTGTTTAAAACGGAATATAGAAAAGAACTGTTTCGAAACATTTCAGAATAAGCAAATTTTGCACTGTCACAAATCATCATTTTTTAAAGATTTAATCATAACCATTTGGAACAATTTCGAAATAAGTAACTAAATTGTCACAAAGAGAAAGAAGCATATACATACTTTTTCGCAAATCTTTTAAACATTCAAATTTATTCAAACGATATAAATTAGTAAATGGATACAGAAGTTTCTTTACAGATAAAGTATCGTTAAGATCTAAGACTAATAATTTCAAACGATGATGCACGCATTTTTATTTTTTTATAAATATATTTATCTTTAGAAAAATTGTATGTAATAAAGTAATTATTCCATAATATATAGATAAGGTATAGTAGGTTTCAATGTTAAAAAAAATAACATAAAGGTGTGAATAAATCCATCGATATATCATAAAGAAAGATAATTGTCGTATTGCCGTTTAGCGCTTTCTCATTGGACAAGAAAGTCACATATGATAATTTAATTACTATACAAAAAAAATTCAGGTATTTTTGCCTGTCATTAACATAAAATTATTAAAAGTCATAATTTTGCTTAAGTGTGATTTATTTACATGGGTAGTTCCACAAGAGAGAATTTAACAAAAATTATAATTTTCTCCGAACTTTTTTACGAATATGAATAAAATTATTTTCTGGTTAAATTTTTCTATAATGCAATAGTTTTTTTAAAAAATTATGGTTGAACCATAAAAATCATTATGATGTTGATTGTTATATCTAATGTATACGTGATCGATGTTAATCTAATATTATTGGCCAAATTTGCAAAACTCAAAAGCACCGTAATACAAGCTCAAAAAAATAAAAATTTTAACAAATCTATAAAATCTAGAAATGATGTCCTATTATGAAATAGTACTGAAATATATTAGGCCCTAGTACAAAAATACTTACACTAGTTTTTATAATCTTGAATCATTTTCTATAATCATTTTTGTTTTGCATACTTTATTATCATGGAATAAGCTATATACATACCAAATTTCATTTATTTATATTCAGTATTCTTTGAGAAATTTAGGAAAATGTCTTCCATCTCTTAATTTTGTCCACCAGCTTATTTATACACAATTTTATGACAAAAGAAAATGTATAAAAATAACTAAGTATTCACTCGTATTTGACTACCCATCGTTTGAATGCACATCAATGACGAACTTACAAACTTAACAAAAGAAATTCTTTCTAACCGCATCCAAGCTCGAGCTACAGCTAATTAAATGCTTCTTTTTTTCTCAATGTTAAGTTCATATAACTTTTCACATTGGTTATAGATTATTTTTAATTCCTTTCAACATCTCTTTTTGCTACATTAGAGGAGTGCATATTACACTCTAAGAAATTTCCTCTCTAGATTACAATCAATGATTGTTAAAAATTCTGACTGCAAAAATAAATTTATGACCGTAAAGCTATTATGACTAAAAAAATACAAGTCAGCCCGTAAATTACGCTTTCGCTTTTGATTAATTATTTAAAATCAATGTCTTAAAACTGAGAGTGGTAAACCTTCACAAGGTGTGGTAATAAAACCCTGATAAACAATTTTTAATTAAAAAAAATTTAATATTATTAAAAATAAATAAATTAAAAAATATAACAAAAAAAATAGACTTCTACGAATAAATAAATTTATTATGCTGTTAAAACAATTCTGCAGAACTTGCGAAAATTTCAACTTTTATGCATTTTCATGTTGTGTTGCTGTTTGTTTTTCTTTTTTTTTTTTTTTTTTTTTTTTTTTTTTTTTTTTTTTTTTTTTTTTTTTTTTTTTTTTTTTTTTTTTTGGTATTCTTAGTTTAAGAATTCATAAATAAGCTCTAAATGACTTTGGGTAAAACTTCATTTCCGGGTTTGATTCGTTATTGCTATAAACGAGATCTTTCTGCAAGGGTGTTGCAGAACTTTCTTAACAACCTAATAATTGGTTTCAAATGGCCGTGTTTTTGCAGCGATGCAGAGGCATAAACGATTATGGAAATTTTCAGCCATTGGCCGCAAGTCAGCCTGGAATAGATTTCTTTTCCCTAATGAGATGCTCTTTACCGCCCAACCAGCTCATAACTCACAGAACAATCGGATCTGGTCTAAAGACGCTCCAAACACGTCAACAATTGTTGAACATCGCCAAAATCCAAAGTCAGTCATAGTCTGGGGCGGAATTTGTGCAAGCAGTAAAATACCTCTGGTTTTTTGTAATTGAGGGTGTAAAAATAGATAAAAAAAAGATTGCCATTGGAACATTCTAGAAGCTGTTTTACCTCCATAACCAGAAAAATGCTTCATTGATGTAAACTGTACGTTTCAACAGGAGCATCTCAAAAATCCAAAAAGACACAAAAGACCCATTTTCCGGAGATGATGACATCTGAAGAATGGCCACCCTACTCACCAGATCTCAATATTATGGATTACAGTATATGATACATTTTGTAGTCTAAGGCCTACACTAAAGTTTGGATTCTCGAAAACAATTGCTTCGGTGCTGATGGAATAGATTAAAGGTTAAAAAATCTGAGGTAAATTGCTGAAAATTTCAATGAGCGTTTGCGTCTCTGCATCGCCGCGGCTGCTCTTAAATCAATTAAATTTATATATTAGTAAAAACATACTCTTATTATTATTTGCATGTTTTTTAATTTGTTTATTTTCAATAATGTTTAATTAAGTAATAAAAAAAATTGTTCGGCCACGTTTTTTTGCCACACCCGACAATATAAAGTTACCCTATTGTGCAATATTTCATTTTGCATAATAAAAATAAAATTAAGAATATAAATAATATAAATAAAGATATTTAATAGGAGTTCTACATTCATTGAACGGTAAACACGTCCAAAAACAATTCCCCCATCATGAACACACGACTTGTGGACTTTAAATGCATAGAACTTAATAAAGAATTGCCAAGCACATTTAATACTTATTGTAAAAATAATTCATAAGCGAAAATTACTTTTGCACCAATACTTTTTCGCAATCGCCAATACATTTTCATAAATTTTAAAAACTTTTAGCAAGATTGAACGATTAAGAAGTGCAACTCCCTAGTCTTATTTTATTTTATTTTTAATAAAATATTTCTATGTGTATCTTTAAAGTAATCCTTTTTTGAACATTATTTTAATCAGGTAAAAAACCAGTGATAGCTGTAAAGTAAACATTTTAAAACATTCTCATCATAAACATTATAATTGGGGAAAATTAGCAAAAACTAGATTTTCCCCTTAATTCTGCAAATGGCTCAGCAAGTACTTTTTTTTTAACATAAGATTTTTACTGTTACTGATTGCAATGTTATCACTGTCTAAGCAAACAAATTTTAATCTATAATTATTTAATAATCTCATTGTAACAGAAATTATAGAATTTTTTCAATAATCTGTTGAATTAAATTCAATATTCTCTGATGATCAAGTGTAAATCAGATTTTAACCCCCTTCTAAACTCAACATCCATATCTTGACACAAATTTAAAAACATTATATTTCTGTGATAATAAAGTTTTTTTTTTAAAAAAGCAGTTCCTTCCTTACATGGTGTAATAGAATATCACATGTACATTTTCAAATATGAAAAATACACTTATTGGAATAAGTTATATATATAATATTCGATTAATTCTCTCTCAATGCTTTTGTAATTTAGAAATTTTCTTGGGAGCTTCATCTTTGAATATGTAGAAAATTTTAACTTTCCATAAAGTTTCTTTAAATTTAAAATATGAACTGTTCTTGTTGATGAATTGTTAATTTATTAAAAAATTTTGAAATAAACCATTTGTTTCATTAATTCTGCTCTTTATGAAATCTTTAATTTTTATCTACAATGTTTTTATTATCATTGAGAATGTACTTTCAATTGAATTTGATCTACGACATAAAACAAAATTTAAAACAAATATTAAAATTTCTACTGAAATTAATGATAAACAAAATTTAAGACATATTCAAACTATAATATATTTATATTACATAAAGAAGATTATTTTAAAATAAAAACACTGATAAATTTGCTATTTTCTTTCACAAGCTATTGTCTTTTATCTAAAACTTTTATCTTTTGTCATAATTTTTTTATTTATTTTTTTATTTATTCTTTATTTATTCTTTTTATTTATTCATTTCATTTTTAGTATTTTTCTTTATCTTCGAAATAATTCCTGTCATTTAGAAGTTAATCTATCAATAATATTTTATCAACATCAAACGCCAATGCGTATATTTAAATTTTTAATATTATCTAGTTACTTAATTTAAAAACAGGGAATATTTAATAATTTTTATAATTTTACTCAAATACAATGATGAAACATTAAATGTGGAACACTTTTTATCATATCTTCCATTTAAATGGAGAGGAAATATCATTCAAGGTTATTACATTTAGATTCAAAAATATGATGTACTTACTCATGAAAAGTTGACATCAATAAAACATAACATCTAAACATCAAATGATACGTGGCGTAAATGCCCCAAGTGGACACAAACAATCCCGCCAAAAATAATTTGAATGATTACACAAAGTAGAAGGCAACACCTTAAATCTTTTTTTCTTGTTTACCCAGAAAAGCTATTAGAAGAATCATTCAAGAGTTGCAAATCCTATTTTGATCACCACTGACCACAAGCTGAAAATCACTTTTTTTTTTCGCTCCAAAGAACATTGGCCTTATCAAAGAAAAAACAGATTGCTTAATCTTCCATCTTCAAAATCAAGATGTTTATAGTGTCGAGCAAGTAAAAAAGCGTAAAATAAATTATAACAATATTACTTACTTAATTTGAAAAGGCTTGTATTGTTTAACGAAGCATCAAACTTGTACCATAGTCTTTCTTTTTGACGTGAAATTGTATCCTCTTGTTTCACTCTTATGTTTTATATTTATAATCGTAGTCCTTGATAAATATTTTTCTCTCTCAAAAATAA